TAACAACGTGGGATGAACATAAAGTTCAGTAGGGATCTCAACATGATCCTAAACAATAGCAACATACAGATAGCTATGATCATGAATGCATCAAATCATATCATATACATGATGTGACGGTTTATACAGAAATATACTTATATAGAAACTTTTCTCAAAAACATTCTTTTCATTCAACAACAATAGCAATTTACTTTTCTTTCTTCGTGTTACTCGTTATGAGAAATAACTAAAACATTAATATTTGACAAAAGGTTAACACTTGTAAACCAACTCACACCCTTCCCATAGCCCATCAACCATTTCATCCATGTTTCAATCCACTTCCCTTTACATATCCAATCCAATTCCTAAATATGGTTAATTATCTAACCAAACGATTTAAATGAGACTGCAACTCAACTTATTAACATTTATGTCATCCACAATTCAAAATGAGACTACAACTCATGTAATTAATACTTCAATTATCAACTTCATTAATGCACTTTAATTTATAAGGTTTCGGGACTTACACCCTGGACACTCCGACCAACTTAATTATCTATGAAGTCCATCCCCTATATTCTCCCAAACAATGGAGTGCATCCCCTATCTCCTCTCAAACAAAGATACATATGCAATGTATTAAAGCATATAATCACACGTATGGAGTACATCCCCTATCTCCTCCCAAACAATATACATATACAATGTATTAAAGCATAATCACACGTATGGAGTACATCCCCAATCTCCTCCCAAACAATATACATATACAATGTATTAAAGCATAATCACACGTATGGAGTACATCCCCAATCTCCTCCCAAACAATATACATATACAATGTATTAAAGCATAATCACACGTATGGAGTACATCCCCAATCTCCTCCCAAACAATATACATATACAATGTATTAAAGCATAATCACACGTATGGAGTACATCCCCAATCTCCTCCCAAACAATATACATATACAATGTATTAAAGCATAATCACACGTATGGAGTACATCCCCAATCTCCTCCCAAACAATATACATATACAATGTATTAAAGCATAATCACACGTATGGAGTACATCCCCAATCTCCTCCCAAACAATATACATATACAATGTATTAAAGCATAATCACACGTATGGAGTACATCCCCAATCTCCTCCCAAACAATATACATATACAATGTATTAAAGCATAATCACACGTATGGAGTACATCCCCAATCTCCTCCCAAACAATATACATATACAATGTATTAAAGCATAATCACACGTATGGAGTACATCCCCAATCTCCTCCCAAACAATATACATATACAATGTATTAAAGCATAATCACACGTATGGAGTACATCCCCAATCTCCTCCCAAACAATATACATATACAATGTATTAAAGCATAATCACACGTATGGAGTACATCCCCAATCTCCTCCCAAACAATATACATATACAATGTATTAAAGCATAATCACACGTATGGAGTACATCCCCAATCTCCTCCCAAACAATATACATATACAATGTATTAAAGCATAATCACACGTATGGAGTACATCCCCAATCTCCTCCCAAACAATATACATATACAATGTATTAAGGCAAATATGCACATATGGAGTACATTCCCTATCTCCTCCCAACCAACCCATATTAGCAAAATATAAAGATTATTCAACTCCCTCCCTTTTTAAATCCATTATATCAATAATAACAAACTAGGGCTTTCCTCATTTTCTTCATAAACATTGTAAATCATTTCCAAAATAACCTAATAACAAACAACTTAACAATACCAATCATGAGTATCAAACCCTAGACCCACTTTCATGTTTTTCAAGAAAAACCCATAGTGAATATGGTTTTTATGCAATAAAACTATCACATGTCTATTTATAAAAGTAGTATTGAAAAAGATTAAAGAAATCCCTACCTCAAGCTTAGGAAAGAAAACCACCCAAAAATCACCGACGCCGAAACCACGAACTACTCGGACCAATAGGAAGCCCTTGACGAGATCTGCAATCCATCTCAACGGACCATGGTGAAAAGATTACTCTAGGTGAGTAGATCTACAGATCTTTGAGCAAAAAGTGATTTTGGAGAGGGAGAGAGAGTGATATGGTTTAGAGGGAGAAAAGAGAATAAGAAAATAAAGAAAAGGGTCAAGTGAGAGCCTATTTATAGCACTAGGTAAAATTAGAAATAAGCCCCAAAGCTAACCCAAAATATCAAGTCAAAACCCCTAAAAAGTAGGGCCAAAAGTCGGACTAAAATCTGAAAAAATATCTGCAGGGGTCGACCCCTGCAACAGTGGTGTCGACACCAAAGAGGAAAAATCTGGAAAAACTAAGCTTGACTGCACAGCTGGTGTCGACCCTACCTCAGACTGGTGTCTACCCTATGTTCCAGCAACCAACACACAGACATAAGAGGGTCGACCCTCTCCCAGTCTGGTGTCTACCCTATTTTCTAGCAACACCTCAAGAACTTCATCAACAGGTAAGGGTCGACCCTTGGAAGGCTGGCGTCGACCCTATAATGGAATTTACAAGTCTCCAATGAACTTTTGACAAGAATAAGTGCGAATAACCAAACCCAACAAGTTTAAGTCAATTTGTACTCCTTCAAAACTAAAGTACAACAAAACCAAAGGTTCCCAAAATATAATAAAAGGTCCAAATACATTTACCAAAAGCCTTAAAAGGCACAAGTGCTAAATTATTATTTTTTTTAATTTTTATTTTATTTTATATGAATGTTAATATTATATGAAATAAACATGGATTGAAAATAACATGATAGGATAATACGAAATAATAAACAAGATGGATTAGTATTAAAATAATTATGACATTAATCCAAACTAACCTAACACGACACGATACTCACTCATAGCATGTGTTATACGTGTGTATTTTTGGGGACCTATAATGCTAACAACAACTATTAGAAGTATCACATTATAAGGGCATATTCAACGGCACATCAATTTTTTTTATTAAATTTTAGTAAAAATTTGAGGAGAAGCTCTCTTTAATATCAAGTGCTCAAATTGAGAGTTTTGCGGTTTCGTCAAACCACCGGTCGACCGGGCAGATGTTTGGGCAGTGCAAATTTTCATAATTTTTCTTCTTGAGGTGGGGTCATTCGGGAGGTCGACCGACTAATGTAATTTGTTCACAAACTTTTGCCTTGAGATGGTCATTTGAGAGGACATTCGAGGGACATTCGATGGTAAAAATCCAACAACAATGAACAGTGATTTGATGAAAGACATATTGGTAATCAGTTTGTTGAAATAAAAGTGAAATCCTAAATTTGATACTGATTTGATGAAACAGTTGGAGCTAAAAAAGGAACAATTTTTCATTAATTTCAAATCTGATGATAAGTTTGATACACAGTTGGAGATGGTTTGACGTAATTGAAAAAGTAAAGTTTAAGATGATGAAATTAAAACTAAGAAAATTAATGTAAAATTTCGCTTAAACTAAAAGGACTAAGGTATAATTTACTCAATTTAATAAAAAAAAAAGAACAATTATAAAAAAAATCAAGACTTTGAGTTTTATAATAAACTAAATACTGATTTTTTAATTTTATTATTTTAAACTCTATTTTTTTATTTATTTTTAATCTAAACATTAATTTATTTTTATTAAATAAAATCTTTAGGAAAAATGAGTATTTTACTAAAATATTTTGTTTTTTTTGTCGATTTTACTTTACGAAAAATGCAAATGATTTGGATTGAGAGCATATCAAAAATTTAGAATTTAAATTAATAAAATATGAAATTTAAGATTTAGGTCAAGCTTGGCAAGTTGAAAAATAGTCAAAAAGTCAAAAAATTATTTAAAAAGTTAAAAAGTTATCACTATTCACCAAAAGTCAAAAATTACGGCTGCACAACTCCCAATCCTAATTTTCTCCTACACACTAATTTATACAATTTTTTAATACTTATTTTTTCATAAAAATTCAAAAAGTTAACCAAAACATCCATATTATTTTCCTCAATTTTTTAGTCAAAAAAGACAAAAAGTGCACTTATTTAGGACACCCCAAACAACTCATTATTTTATAAAAATATTCAAAGGGAGATTTATTAAAAAAATATTTTTTAAGTATTTGTATCTTAATTAGTTTATAAAATATTATTATATTCTAATAAGTTCTATTATTTTAATATTTTATCTACCAAGTCATAATTCATATATTTAAGGTATTTTATAGACATTTATATCCTTACAGATATTTTTTGAATGGTTAGTAATTTAGTGATGTGAATGTTTATATTTTATAATGTGAATATTCACATTGACGTGTGAATGTTCACGTTGGTAGTGTGAACATTCACAGTGATAATATGAATATTAACATTGACATGTTAACATTTATATTGACGGTGTGAATATTCACATTGCGGAACATTCGCACTATAAATATGAATATTATTAGGAGTATTTGATAATTATGTCACTCATATAACTTATTAGAATATAAGAAAACAATGTAGACTAAATAAAATATAAGTAAATGAAAAAGAATTTATGAAAAAGTGTCCATGTTCAAATCATGAGTTTTTTTTTTTTTCCTAAAATGAATTTTTCCTAAAAATGAGTTTTTTTTTTTTTTTCAATTTTTTTTTTCCTAAAAAGAAAAATAAATAAATAAGGTATTGTTTGAAAAGTGAGTTGATTTTTTGACTATTTTAATCTGAATTAAAAAACTTGATTTAGAAAAAACTTTTTAACTTTTTTAATTTTTTTAATAAAAAAAAATATAATAATTATAAATTAAATATAATATTTTATTTATTATAATTAAAATAACTTATTTTACTAATCTAGCCGCAAACCATCTTCCCAAATCTAAGCCTAAATAACACAAGTCACGTTGTCTTAACACCTAACCTAAAGTCCAAACCTTTCGAAACGACAGGATGTTTCCCGCCAATTTTTCTCTCTAGAATCCTTTTTTTTATCACTCTACCATGTCTACAACTTTCCTTCACTCTTTCTCTCTCTCTCTCTCTCTCTCTCCCCTCAACCCTAGCACCTCCTCCTCTGTGCTCTCTGCAACACTTCCATGGCCAAAACCCCCCAAAAACCAAACCAATCTGTCAAAAAACCCAAACAATCTCCTCATCAAAACCCCAAACTCTCATCCTCCACCCAAACCCCTCCATTCCCTCCTCCAACCCCTCACTCCCTACTACCCCCTCGCCGCTCCTCTCGCCTTATTTCATCCCCCCAACCAACACCTCCGCCGCCGTCTTCTTCTTCTTCTCGCCGATCGTCGTTAGATTTCAATCCCGATACCCCCCAAAAATCAATTAATCAAAGCCTTAGCTGTGCTGATAATGTCAAAACTTGGAAACGCAAAGTAATTGTTACTGATTCTATTGATGTTTCGTTATCGCCTGTGTCGCCGGATCGATTCGAAGTAAAGAAGAGGAAGAAAGGTAGTGAAAAGAGAAAAACTAGGGTTTTTTCCAGAAATGGGAAGCCGAAGAAGCGGGTGTACTACAGGAAAGTAGTGTACGATGGAGGTGAGTTTGCGGTTGGGGATGATGTGTATGTGAAGAGGAGAGAGGAAGCGAGCTCGGATGATGAGGACCCGGAAATCGAGGAGTGTAGGGTTTGTTTTAAAGCTGGCAAGGCTGTGATGATTGAGTGTGATGATTGTTTGGGTGGGTTTCATTTGAAATGCTTGAAGCCGCCATTGAAGGAAGTCCCAGAAAAGGATTGGATTTGTGGGTTTTGTGAGGCTCCGAAATTGGGCAAAGTGGTTGAGTTGCCCGTGCCGCCCAAGGGAAAGAAGCGAGCCAGGACGGCTAGCCAGAAGCTCATTTCAAGCGATTTGTGGGCAGTACATATCGAGAGGTGTAATAATAATTCACTACTTTAAAATCAATGACACAAATTCTTTATCATGTTCTAATTTTTAGCAGCGATGGCAATTCTTAACATTGTTGTTGTTGGAGTTGAATAGTTTATGGAAAGAGGTGGATGGGAGCTACTGGTTCCGGGGACGTTGGTATATAATCCCTGAAGAAACTGCTGCTGGAAGACAGCCCCATAATTTGAAAAGGGAGCTTTATAGGACAAATGATTTTGCTGACATCGAGGTAATATTTGCACTTCTCTGATGTTTATTCGGTAGTGTAGACACAAATTTCAAAGCGTGAAATGTTTTAACACATTTTGAAATTCATGATACTCTTTAGTTTTTGGACCAAACAGTGTTTATCATCATATAGATTCTTTTTATTTTTTTTTATGGAGCTGGTATGGTATCCTATAGCTTCTCTATTGTAGGTTCTGTATGTATATAGTCTTCATTAGAATCCACATGTCACTTGTATAGGTTCAAAGACTTTAAATTTTAGAGTCTCATCTCCCCATTGAATCTACAACCTTAATATAAATTTGGTTGAAATTTATGTGCCAACAGGTAGTTTTGTGAATGGTGTGAATGTTGTCTCTGGTGTCACCTATCACAGCCAAATTATGCTAAAATATATCTTTTGACACAAAAGAGGACATCAATATTTATGTTATTAGTTCTCAGCCAGATTTATCTTCATTTTAAGCGTTAAGGATTTGTCAAGTTTTTAAGTTCTAGGGTCATCTGGTTCTTTGGTACTTGACAATCTTCAACATATTTTATTCTCATATTTACTTAGTCACTTAATATAGAATCAGAAGGCACTGTTATCTTTACATGTCCTCCTTGGTTATTAATTTGTTAATTTCTCTTTCTGATTATTGAATATTGGTCTGTCAATCTACGGCATGGCATGATGTTTAGAAGAGGTGAAACTTGTTTCAAGTCCTTATAATGTGTTAGTGTTTGTCTCTGTAGATGGAATCTGTCCTTCGGCATTGCTACGTTATGAACCCTAAAGAATTTGTCAAGGCCAAAAATGAAGGCGATGACGTTTTCCTATGCGAGTACGAGTATGACATACATTGGCATAGTTTCAAGCGGCTTGCAGAGATTGATAATGACGAAGAGGTAACACCAAAATCTGTAAGCAGCATTTGGAGATCCTGTGTAATTGAAATGGTTTGGCATTCTCTTGGGATTTATATGTTCACTCTATCATTTGATAGGACGGTAAAGAAGCTGAGAGTGATGAGGATTGGAATTCCTGCAAGGATTCAGACTCTGACACAGAAAATGATATGGAATATGAAGAGGAAAACAAAAAAAAAATATTCACTGGACCATCTACAGTTCATCAGTTGGCCGCTGTATGGGCATTATTCAGCATTGCACATTCTAGTTTAGAGATTGATGATGCCTTAACTATAAACTAATTGGTTATGTAACTAATACAGAATTCGAGGAAAGGGCATATCTTCGGACTTCAAAAAATAGGTATGAAGAGAATTCCAGGACATGTGAGATCCCACAAGCAGACTGAGCTTGAAAGAGCAAAAGCAACACTTCTATTGGCAACTTTGCCCAAGTCTCTACCTTGTAGGAACAAGTATGTGTGACTCATATTACTATGTTTCAGTTTTATTTATTATTAGTGGCAATAACTTCAACCAGGAGATGTGATTCTATGTAGAGAAATGGAAGAGATTACTGCATTTATAAAAGGTGCCATCTGTGATGATCAATGTCTTGGACGTTGCCTGTACATCCATGGCGTTCCTGGAACTGGCAAGGTATCATCTATTGATTGGCTCTAAAAATATTTCTTTCTTGCATTTTTAAACTGGCTATATGTTTTTTTTTTTTTTTTTTTAAATTTTTTATAGATGATTTAGTTGGATGAATATCAATTATAATGATAATTACTTATTTCTTCTTTTTATTCGCACTGAACTGCAGACTATGAGTGTACTCGCAGTAATGAGGAATCTAAAGTCTGAAGTTGATGCAGGAAGTATAAAGCCATACTGTTTTGTGGAGATTAATGGTCTAAAATTAGCATCACCAGAGAATATTTACAGGGTATGAATTTGTTCAAAGTTAAACTACTATTCATTTCTACAACATCCTCTTGTTGCCCAATAATATCTAATTTTCAGTTGACTTATTTTTAGGTTATTTATGAAGCATTAAGTGGACACAGGGTTAGTTGGAAAAAGGCTCTCCAGTTGCTGAATGAGCGATTTTCAAATGGAAGCAAAGGTCGCAAAGAGGATAACCGGCCTTGTGTTCTACTCATCGATGAACTTGATCTTCTTGTAACCAGAAATCAGTCGGTAAATCATGCATTTTATGGAGAAAATTTACCTTCAGTCATTGGATTGAAAATACCATTTTACGTTTACAAGATTGTATTTAGGATTTCTGTCTTTACAGGTTCTATACAACATTCTTGATTGGCCTACCAAGCCTCATTCCAAATTGGTTGTGATAGGTACAAATTTGTTTTTATCTAGTCTTCTTCCCAGCCGAACTGATTTCTTATTAGATTAATATTAATTCTCTTTCCTATAAATGTTGTTTCAGGAATAGCAAATACTATGGATCTTCCAGAGAAGTTGCTTCCTCGTATTTCAAGCCGTATGGGTATACAAAGGCTTTGTTTTGGCCCCTACAACTATCAGCAGCTTCAAGAAATCATTTCAACACGCCTTAAAGGAATTGATGCATTTGAAAAACAAGCCATAGAATTTGCTTCAAGAAAGGTTTGAGCTTTGTTTCACTTGTTTCTTCATTAAGCTTTATTGAAGTTCTTTACTTCTTATCTGTTAGAATGGATCGACAAATGGACACTCACTCTCAGACCTGATTCTAGAAGTTCTCATCAATGTCCTCTGTATGACGGGCATTTTCATTGAACTCAGGTAGCAGCTGTTTCAGGAGATGCACGGCGTGCACTGGAGATATGTAGGCGTGCAGCAGAACTCACTGATTATCGTATTAAGAAATCGGCATCACTTCTGAGTGCTGATTCTGGAGGTAGGCAAATTCGTTGACTATACATACTTGAATTCAATTTAAATGCATTATCATGATTTGTTGCCCAAACCTCATAACTTGATTTTACCTTGGGGCTTAGAGCACATTCATCCTATGCCGAAAATCTGCGAAACAGAAGCCCCATATAATATTCAATAGTGATGCTTTGGTAATTATTCATGTTGTCCCTGCTGGATATGTTTATATTTGGTGACAGCTCCTTTATTTTTAGCATCCAAACTAATGCATTTGCATCATCAAGAAGTATCATGTGTTTGTTCCTAATAGTGACAATTGTGCCCTTAATGTACATAGATTTTGCTGGTTTCCAGGGAAAGCCCTTGTTGGTATGGCAGACGTGGAAGCAGCCATACTAGAGATGTTCCAGGCTCCTCATATTCAAGTGAGTTTCGTTTTAACTAAATGAAGTTTTAAATTGTAAATTCTCTTCATTCATTTTTTTTTTTTTGTTTTGGCTAGAGGATCACATAATTTGTTAACCAATTGTTAACCTTGGTTTGCTGGAAATACAATTGCAACTTACGAATATTGTTTCCTTGGCCTAGTTCGCCATATATTAAATGGACTGTTCTGAAAAGTATACTAATAAAGGGAGAACATAAAATTGTTAGTGCTAAACTAGCGTAGGTTGGCAATTTCATGACTTGTAACGTGCGCCTTAGGTAGAGCCCAAGCCACTACCACTTTGGAGAGTACATTGAACAAGCCTAGAAGTCTTGGAAGCATGGATGTTATGGGAGGTCTTCATTGGCATGTATGTTTATGTGGGAGAACTTCGCTGGCATCGAGATTGCTTTGGCAACAAATATCTTGGGAGCTTCAAGTTTTCTATGGGAGTTCATCAGCATGAGAGGTGCTACTATGGTGCAACTTCATTGGCAAGGGGAAAGCTTTGGACAAGGTCAAGATTGGGTAGACCATTAAAAATGGACCTTGGTTCATTTGGTTTACTTGTTCGACCAGCATTGGTGCCTGGTCACCCAAGGTGGTATGGTCAAATATGGCAGCCAACCACATAGGTTGGTTGACCAGATAGGTCTGTTAGGCAAGTCACTTGAATTTCACGTAAAATCTGAGAAGTTGACTTGGGAAAATTGGAACAACATTTGGCCTTGACATTGGTTAACTGGTGAAGCATTTGGTCAACCACAATTATCAACCAAGTTTGTCAACTATATCTTAAATTGGTCAACCAGACCCTAGCTTTAGTTGACAGTATGGAGATTCAAGGGAAATAACATGTTAACAAAATTGGTTAATTTGTGTTGTGTCTTATTCAAAGGACGTAACACTTCCAAAAACACCATAAATTTTTTGATCATATACCAATAGCATCATGTTCACAAACAAAGGCAGGCAATTAGGTTCCTGGTTTTCATGCCATGATTGTGCTTATTACATAAATACTTCATTAGTTGTCTGCTTCAGTTTTTGCCAATATCATTGTGTAGAAAAAGTTCTCATTGTTCACTTATGTTTGTTCTTTTTGTCTTGCTGTGGCATTTCAAAATTTAACTTCAATGCATTATGTATCTTTCTTCAGGTAATGAAAACTTGTTCCAAACTGTGTAAAATCTTCTTGGCAGCTATGGTGCATGAGCTCTATAAAACAGGAATGGGAGAAACAACTTTTGAGAAGGTCAACTTTTCGAGCTTGCATAATTTTGCTATTTTGCTGCTCTTGTAATGTGTGGCATTGTTTGTAACTATGTCAAAGCAATTTTCCAAGTAAGAAACTTTCTTGATCCACATTGTCGTCCACCAAATACGAACTAGCGGCATACATGAAGATCTTTTTCTTTCCCATTTCTTTCCTTTGTTTTTATTTTTAGTTTCTTATTAGCCAATAATTTGTTCAACCAAAAATTTTGCACGTTAGGTGCATAGTACACATTAGGAGCTTCAATACTTCAAATTTTGCATGTCGCTTCCACAAAGACTGATAAATATAGACACAGCTTTTGAAAATCAATGATGATTATTGAAGCAAAGCTCAAGTGGAAAATTGTAACTGATGCAAGACAAGTGCAGGGAACACTTCTACTAGTGATGGGCCCAACAATGATGTATAGCAGCTGAACTAGGCCACATTTTGATAGTATTTCTTGCTCAACTACTTCCAAACAAATATAGGATGTACTGATGTACTAAAACTCATAACCAAGCAACCTAGCAAACTGTAAACTAAATAAATTTACACAACAAAAGTGGCGACCTACAGATTACCAAAATACCCTGTGTTGTAAAACCTTACTTTTCTAAATCTACGCGAGATGCACTCTTTTGGGTTTAACCAAACCCCTTCGAAATTAGCCTCCAACCATGTGACACTAGTGGTGGGACCCAGTGGATCGTTAGTGGGGGCTGCACAACAGTTATTTTCCCCAAGCATAGACTTTAAGGTGTTGTTCCCTATCAGAAAACTATGCCACATTATCAGTGCACCAATGTTCTTTCTACTGCCCTTTCTTGTATTATAAAATGTAAAATATTGCTATCAATATTTTCTCACTGATACTTCTCTGTACGCAGTTGGCAATGACTGTTTCATGTCTTTGCACAAGCAATGGTGAAGCATTTCCTGGGTGGGATACACTCTTGAAAGTTGGGTACGAATACTCTCCCTTTCTTCTCTCGCAATTCACACTGGCAGACTTTTGAAAGTTGGGTGACGGATGCTGTCCTGTTCTTTTGCAATTGACACTAGTAGGCTTGCAGTCTTCCCAGTTTAATCATTTTTTGGACATCTTAGGAGGGTTTGTATGGTCTAACTTATCCTGAATCAGGATTTGCTCAAGCTTATTCAAGTGTAACTTACCTTATGTCCTATACAGACCCATTTATTTCTCTAGGTTAGGCCCCTAGCATTCGGAAAAATTATGTTTTGTTTGCTTCTCTAATATTTGATATCTTTTGCCTTCTGTGGTACTTGGGATAAATATGAATCCTTTCTTACCAATTTAAAAACACAGCTAATTTGTAGCTTTCAAAATAATCTTTTAGTCATTTTGTTGATGACTCCATGTTTGCTTGCGCATGAGTGCATGCAACTCTATTTTAATGGGAGATATGCTGGCTGAACGCCATGACAAAAATGGAATGTTATGCTGTCATCGCATCCAACTTTTAGACACCCCTCCCCATGCCCTGCTTTAATGGTGGCCTTGTGCACTGTGTTACCTTTTTATGAAAAGGGTGGCTTGGCCCAACGGTAAGGCTTGCCGTTAGTGTTCCTGGCTGCACGGATTTGAGTCACAGAAACAGTCTCCAGAAATAAGAGTAAGGCTTACATCTTGCCAACCCGAAACCTCAGATAAGCAGAAGCGTCATACACTGGTTGCGCTTTATTAACTAATATTTCCATCTTAAAGTACTTAAAAAATCTAGAATTCTTCATCCTTCTTCCTTCTTTTTCTGGCAGCTGTAAACTTGGTGAATGCAGAATTATTCTATGCGAAGCAGGATCTAAACACAGGTTGCAAAAGCTGCAGCTCAACTTTCCAAGGTCAGTTCCCTTCTCTGAGCCCTTGGCCACTATTGTCTTGATTTTCTTTCCCTGGACAAGTTCCCTTGTCATGATAATCTGATTAATGAACCACATTGTGAATTTGCAAAAGGTGATGTATTGCATGTTAGATAAATTGATGTATAGAGAAATAGAGAGAATGAATTATGTATTGATTGATTGATATATTGATATTCTGTATATTTACAAAGAGATTTACACTCTCTTTATAGAGAGGAGTATATGGTCACTGCTGCATGGAATTGATCTATTTTCGACTGTTATATTTTACTTGTATAGAAATATGCCACATTTGTTCCCTAATATAATTTTGATATTTTACTCAGCAACTTTTCACCCTTAGGAATAGAGGTCAATTCTTACAATAATATAGTGAAATTAGATAACATTTCAAACCATACCCATGTGACTAATATGAGAAATGGTGTTATTATTGGAAATCTTAGGGTGAATACGCACGTTAAACCCATATTCAAAGATCCACTGACCTAAATCTTACAGTATCCTACTATGCGATGACGATGGCTACCATTGTGCTATTGATCTTATGGGTTTTCTTTCTCGCCTTCTTGTTAAACATTAATGGGTCTGTTCCTCAGGGCTGATAGATACTTTCTCAGGCATTTAGGTCAGTTTTTATATTACCGAACAAAAAAAAAGGGATGGCCTACCCTCAATTGGGTACTTTTAGTGGTTGGGAAGAAAGGTGAAAGCCTGTCACTGCCATGCCCAAACATAGAATCCTCCCATTTCTGGAAGTCCTGGAAACTTACTGGTTGTTGTGAACTCTGAAAATAGAAAGAATAATAGGTGACAACATGTTTGGTATAGCTTCTTGCAAGTTGAAATTTGATAATCGAAAAACAGAAGCTAAGCTAAAAGTACCTCTTTCCTTGCTCCTCAATAATCAGTTTTTTTCAATTGATATAAGTTATTTTTGCCTCATAAGTTATAAGCAAATGTTGTACTAGACAATAGCCCTGTTTGGTAGGGTTTATTTCCAGCTTATTTTAGCTTTTAACTTAATTTAAGCTATTTTGATGTGTTTGGTTCAGCTTAACAATACAGTTTATAACTTTTTGTAAGTCAAAAATCAACTTATTCTTTGAGTGGGGGAGGAGAAGCTTAATTTATAAGTCAAAAATCAACTTATGTTCACAGCTATAAGTTATAAGCTATTAAGCTTTAAGTTATAATTACTTTCCCACAGTTCCACCAAACAGGGCCAATGAGACAAAAGAAGCCATAAGCAGCTCCATAAGCTGCACCAAACAGATAAAATGGCACTAACAATTACAAAGTACATTTACTATAAATGTTAGGATGAATTCTTGTAAGCAATCTGAGGCCATCCTTTTCAGCTTTCATTTCTAGTAGTTCACTTCACTTGCATTTATTTATCTGAGTGGTGTGCATTCATTCCATGAGTTGCAATTTTTATTTCCATCTAATAACATGATCTTTTGGTTAAAAGCCCCAACTAAAATCACACTATTGCTAACTAGTATCTGAGCTGAACTAGAAATATGGTAGCATCAGAAAGTGAATTCAGTATTCTGATTTTTTTGCAACATGTTTCGTGGCAGCGATGACGTGGCTTTTGCATTGAAAGACAGCAAGGAGCTACTCTGGTTAGCCAAGTATCTGTGAGATTCATAGATAGTCAGAAGAACCAAATGAATGACATGCAGTTCATCATCCAACATTATTTATTAATTTATTTTTCATTTTTCATCTTTCATCTTTACACTTCACAATTCTACAATTCATACCAATTTATGTTGACATTTGGTGTGGACAATGGACAATACCTTTTTTTGTTTTTGGTTTTTCTTTTCCCCCTTCTCCCAAATTTTGAATTAGGGCAACATTTATTTGTTTCTGGTGAGGCACTGCCTCTATTTTATTTCATCTTATCTGGGAATGCTATTGAGACCAAGTTAATACATTTTTGTTTTGGTGAACTATTTATTTATTTGTTCATAATCAGCATATTATGTGGCAGAAATGATGCAAAATTTGTGAACCACCAGACTACCTCTTTTTAGAAACCACACTTACATTTTTTTGCACGTGTTTTTGTCTATAATGAATTTTTAAAAAAAAAATTATATAATTTTTTTCTTTTCAATATCTTTTGTCAACAAAAATATAAAAAATTTATTTTCTTTGAAAAATTAAATTTTTATAAAAATTATATATATATAATATATTATAATCTAGGGCAAATTACATATACACCCCTCCAGGTTTGACAAAATTACAGATACCCCCCTGAGGTTTGAGAAATTACGAATTCCCCCCTGAATGCTATATTTGCATAAGAAATTAGATCAAGTTTTTTTATATAAATTTTAAGGTACTCGATTCAAAATTTAAATTGTAATTTCAACCTAAGGGTTGTGGCATTGTGGTAAGATCTTGGGGTTTAAGTCCCAAGGTCACAAGTTCAATTCTCCCTTTGGGCCAATTTCTTGGGTGAAGCACTGTTGGTTAGGAGGTTGGACCTCAAGGATGCCTAATCAGCTACTTGGTGTAGGGCACCCTGGTGATCTCCTCATGGGGCGCTGCTTTGGACCTGCGGGAGGATAGGAAGATTTTCCTGTAACAAAAAAAAAAAAAAATTGTAATTTCATTTGACCAAAGGTTGAAGGTTTGAAATATTTTATTTAAAGGGATAAATTTAAATAAAATAATTAAAGAAAAATATTTGATGGCCCGAATTTATATGGTCCAAATAATTTAAATGTATCAAAACGACCTTGTTTTATTTCAAAAATAACATTGAATCATTTGAGCCACTTTTGAGCCACAAAATTTGAGCTACGAGACATTTTCCTATACATGAATCAGAACATTAAAATCATCTCTCTCTCTCTGTCTTCCCTCTCTCTCCTCGCCTTACCCTGGCTGCCCACCGCCTTAACTCGCTGTCGTCGCCCACCGCCTTGCCTTGCCATCGCCGCCACCAGCCCTACCACCGCCTTCACCGCCCTCTCCTTCTCCTTTCTGCAAATCTTCATTCTAATTTTCCCGAGATAAACCCCTAACTCTAACCCTCACTCTCATCTTCCCTTCTGCAAATCCTCACTCCGATCGATGTCTCTCTCATGGTTCACCACTGTCCTTGCTTCTGCTCCGGCACTGCACGCGTAGTCCAGCCGTCGTCCCCACCTCACCTCGCCTCGCCTCTCCACCGACACATCCTCCACCGCGCAGATTTGGATTGAGGGTCGGAGTTGATCCTCAACAAGGTTCAATCGACATGCCCTAACAACAAGGCGGATCTGGAGCTGTCCGATTAGTGACGCAGAACTATCTCTCTCTCTCTCTCTCTCTGTGATATACAAGTATTTAGCTGTCGAATGTATGTATATATGTATGTGTATGTATGCGTATTTATACATGTGTATGTATATGTAAACAGGTCTAAACCTTTTGGACCGGGGTTCATGGATGGTAAGCACCACACAGTTTATGTTCATGGCGTTTTCTGCTAAAATACGCCTCACCTTTACATTTGTTGTTGATTAGGGTTTTGTAGATGATGATGATGATGATGATGAAGAATCTGTGCTGTGATGATGATGAATCTTTGTTTGTGGAATGATTTTAACAGATAGTGGGTGATGAAGAAGAAGCAGATGGCAATAACAGATTTGTTTTAAACAGATTTGTTATAGTTGATTTTCAACATATAAGATAGCAGATCTGTTCAAATAGGGTGGAAAATTGAACAGGTAGACAAAAAATTGGACAGAATTTTGTTTGGACAAATATTTGAATAGGGTAAAAAAATTTGAGTAGCTAGAGAAAATTTCAAACAGATAAGGCAAAAAATTTAAACAGATAGTAAGAAATTTGAACAGATAGTTAACAAAAAGTCGAACAAATAAAAAAAGCTGGGGGATAAAATTGAAAGTAAAATGTTTTGCAGGACTTTTTACCAAACTATTTCACCGTAACAATAGAAAATATTCATTGAATCAAATATCTTATACGAGGGTGCAACTCAGGCAGGTTGAGAGGTTGTCAAAGTTCAGTTTAAGTTGTGTTGAGACTTGTCCAGGCTCGAATTGTAACTTGAGGTTGCTTGTCCAAGCTCGACTTGAGTTAAATCCGAATTGCTCGAGTTGTTCGAATTGTAAATGAATTTTAATTTTTTTTTCCAGGTACATTATTAAATTATTAAAATTAGACTTTATTTATATTTTTTTAATAGAAAATTATAATACCATCAAAATAAATAATTTATATAATATAAGATCAAACCATAGAATTTCTCTGGACCAACCCAGAGAAATTTCAGTTCAAACCAGAGAATTTCTCTAGTCTCAACCCAGAGAAAAATCAGTTCAGGTGATCGTGATTTACCATTTCTTTCTGATAATGGATCATCTGAATCATCTTTTCACTGCCACTGCAAACCTGCCCTTCCTTTGGTTCTTCATGTGTGGATTGAACCCTATCATCCTCACCATCAAGATTAGCCAATGAGCTTTCTGATTGTTTTTCCATAATTTCCAGAGCTCTACGGGTATCCACTGGCTTCCATTCACAATTGACAAGCATGTCAGCCCAATCGGCATCAACTTCATCTGGATCAAATATCTGGCTTCAAGATTAGCCTTACTCGATGGGAACGTCATCTGGATCAAACATCCACCACCAACCTTCACCAAATATGCTGCCTCCATGTCAGCTACCACGAACCAATGGATTACATATATCCCTATTCCTAGCAGCTTCAAAAGCTCGTGGATCGCCTGATCTTCAAGAACCCAGATCAAATTACAATCAGGTTCGGGAATCCCCTGCTGAGAGTGCCAGTTCACGAGAAACCTGGCCCATTGCCGATGTTATTATGGCAAAAAAGCTAGAGAATGAGAGAGCAGAGAATGATCTTCCCGAATCGTCAGTCACTCGTCCGACCTTGTTCGATGCCCTTTCCATGTAAAACCTCCATAGATCTCTTCTTCCTGTGTCTCTGTTTCTCTGAAGATCTTCTTCCTCCTCTTCCTCACCACTAATCCCTCCGACGCCGACTTCTTCTTCCTTTTCTTCTCCATCGTCGCCATGCGTCACGATTTGTGGAGACCTTGTTGGTCTTGGCCATTTGAATGTGAAGCAGAAACAGAGAGCCCATGTAGAGAGAGAAAGTGAGTAGAAAGAGAGAGGGAATGGGGTGAGGGACCTTAGACTACAAAAGAACAGATTGTGGACCTAATTCATTACTAAAAGTTGGATAGGGACCTTAGACCGATTTTCCCTATAATTTAAGCTTCTTGTTTCTCGGATTATTTGACGTCTTTGTTCAAACTCGTTCAAATTTAATTCAGTTTTTGAATTTTTACTCAGACTCGTATCGAATTTAAAATTATCTTATTCAAGTCCTAAAAAAACCTAGAGAGTTCAGGTTCTTCGATTTGAATCCGTCCAAATTATACCTCTATATTAGACACTCGATTTATTATCCATTTTCTCAGAATTTTTACTGAAAAATAAAAGGTTTTTGCGAATTAAAAAAACAAAAAAAAAGCATTAAAAATTAAAACCAGCCAATCTCTCTCTCTGTCGCGTAACTAGAAGGAAGGGGAAGCTTAACATATGATATTCGGTTTCCTTAGAAGCGAACAATGAGCGAAGGCGTCACATATGATATTCGGTTTCCTTCAAAAACGTCGGTCATGCTACGGTCAAAACCAAATCTCTGTTTTTCTCTCTCTCTATCTCTCTCTCTGTAGAGAACGTGTTAAGATAGGATAGGAGTGCGATGGCGATCGCAGCAGTGATTGTTCTGCCTCTGGGTCTCATCTTCCTTCTCTCCGGCATCCTCCTCAACTTCATTCAGGTCTCTCTTCATTGATTTCTACGCTTTTTAGATCTCTCTCTCTCTCTCTCTGTCAATCTTTCCCCAATTCATTTATTTGATTCTTAGGTTTGGTATTGTTACCATTTGAATTTGCCCAACTCATTTAGGCCCTGTTATTTTTGTTTTCTTCTGGGTTTTTTTTTTTTATTTATATTAAAAGTATTTTCGAAAACAAAAAGCGAATGAGAAATTTCAAAAACCAATCTTTTTTTATTTTTATTTATTTTTGATCGAAATTAGTTTCTGAAAATTGGGAAACAACTTTTTAGTGTTTTCATAAATAAATTAAAAAAAAAATTTGAAAACAATTTGCGAAACAAATTTTATGTGTTTTAGGAAAGCAAAAACAGAAACTAGAAACACAAAATTATGGTTCAAGTCCTTCCCCTCCCCAATTCCCTCTTCATTGTTAAAATAAAAATTAAAAAATTTGTATATGGTTTTAGTTGACAAGTCTAGCTTTATTTTTTTTGTTTGAACAAAATACATTTTTGAATTTTGATTAGCTTGAAAATGAAATCTCTTAGTGCCGTTAAATTAAAATCACATTTTATTTTTTGCCCAACCACCCTTTATTTTTATTTTTTTTTAAAATTTCTTTATTGATGTATTGTGATCAATATATAGTTGGAATTGGTAACATGAAAAACTACTTTTGAGCTTCCGGAGAATATTCTTTTTGATAAATTTTCTTTTCTTTGTTAGAATGATTTTGAAGCCACTTTCATAATAATTATTTATTTTAAAATGAAAGAGAGTTTTTAAATTTCTTGATGTAGCTATTGATTCAGTTAAATTTTTCATGAGAATATACATTTGATTATTTCTTACTATTTCTACTCGGAACCGTGGACTTAGGCTTGAAATTCTTTTGTAAAATATGATTATGATGTTCTTTTCCTTTTTGACATTCTGAAACTTTTATGGCCTATTTGAATTTTGATATGTAAATATTTTATTGAATTTTCCCAAAATTTTGAATGTAATTATGCATGCTTTTTATAACAATTTGCTATACAGTAAGCCATTTATGTTGTTATTCAACAAGGTTTTTGGTGTAATTTCGAATTATTTACAGTCTTTTAACTTCTCATCCCTAAAGAAACACAAGTGTAAAGAAAAACTTATTGGAATTGAGGTTTTTTTTATTTATTTAATATTTCGTGTGGAAACATAATTTATTTGATTAACCTGTTGCTTTTGTCCTGTTTTTTACACATGTCCGCATTTTCAGGCAATTTTCTTCATCCTAGTCCGTCCGTTTTCTATGAGTATGTATAGAAGGATCAACAAAGTAGTCGCAGAATTGTTGTGGTTGGAGATCATTTGGCTTTTCGATTGGTGGGCTGACATTAAGGTGTTTGAATAAGTTGCTTATTTATTTATTTCTTTTTACATTCATTTTGCCACTCATCCTAAATGGCGTAATAAAATTGACTGAATCTGTGTTTCTCTATGTTAAATGGTTTATACGAATGAACGCATTTATGAGATTGTCTTACGAAGAGATATACAGTGAAATTTCACAAGTTCCATATCAAGATTATCATATTTTCTATTATGATAACTTTGAATTTGTAATCTAGATATAATTGACCCAAAAACATCAAAAGCATTTCTTAATAGGATATAATATCAATTCTTGTTGACAATAGTTATGACTTGTGTGGCAGGTTGATCTTTTCATAGATTCGGAAACTTTTCAATTAATGGGTAAAGCTTCACCTTCTCTTTGTTTGACTTCCTGAAATTTGTATACAATAGTGAGAGTTAGGAATAAGCTCATAGATGAAGCTTTTTCAGGTAGAGAACACGCACTTGTCATTGCCAATCACAGATGCGACATTGACTGGCTTGTCGGATGGGTCTTAGCTCAGGTTCTTGTGTTCATAAATATCAATTTAGATCCCTGTGTTGTAGTATACTCTCACTAATATATTGAGGTTTTTATTTGTGAATCTTTACTGAATTTTGAAATAGGTGCTTTCTACAACACGCCTTATGTTTTCCGATGGTTGAATTTTGATTTTGCTATTGACAGCGTGCAGGTTGTCTTGGTAGTGCACTGGCTATAATGAAGAAGTCATCAAAATATCTCCCGGTGAGTTTTGGAACCCTTCATAAATTGTTGCATCTCTCCGGAACTGCTCAATATTTGAATGGATATAACCTGTGAAGTAAAAGTGAAAACCAATCTGATCCTTGCACGTTGATACGTCTAATGGGTTTAATCTATTGTTGTGCTTACTTCTTACTTGTGCAGCATTTCACAATCTGAGATGCAACATGTTATTTATATTTTTCTTTATTTTTGTCCCCCTTTTTTTGTGTGCTTGTAATATGATTGTCCACCTCGAGATGAAGGGGCTTTTGGTGCAACTTATATTTATTTCAGGAATATGTGCCAGAATGTTTGATACAATTTTTGCTTACTAATGATACCAAAAAAAAAAAAAAAAAAAAAAAAAAAAAAAAAAAAAAATTTAAAAAATTAAAAAATATAAGAAAAAAGAAAAAAAGATTTAAAAGTTTAAAAATCTGATTATTGGAAAGTTGGGAGAGATTTTTTAGCTTTTACTTTCTAATTGTCAGTTTTTAACTTCCAAGAAGCTGCACTGAACAGGAATAAAAATATGGTGGTTGTGCAGGTTTTAGGCTGGTCAATGTGGTTTTCTGATTATGTCTTCTTGGAGAGAAGCTGGTCCAAGGATGAGGAAACATTGAAGGTAAACTGAAATGCAATTGTTAGTATTTGCATTTGGTAAATGGGTAATCTTTGTTAATGTGTTTACACCGCTCAGATTATTCTATGCTGCAGTCAGGTTTTCAAAATCTAAAGGACTTCCCTCGGCCATTTTGGTTGGCTCTTTTTGTGGAAGGAACTCGTTTTACACAGGAAAAGCTTTTAGCAGCTCAGGAATATGCTGCTTCAGCTGGGTTGCCCGTTCCTAGGAATGTTTTGGTTCCTCGTACCAAGGTTTTTTTTAAATATTATTATATTGAATTCAAACTTGCTCCATATGTTCCAAATATGATTTTTCCTATTTTCAATTAATTTTTTCTTGGGTTTTTGGTGCATTCTATTTTCTATTTCTAAGAATCTTTTTCCTCTTAGATTGTAGTTTTCAATTTGTGGCAATCTACAAGCACCAGAAATGTTAAAAAAAAAAAAAACTGTGACCCATTGCAGGAGGCTTTAGAGGGGTTTGAAGAGGGCAAGATTTATGCAACCTTATATCCCCATTTTTTGAGAGGCTATTTCCGTGAACTGTGATATTTTTCCAAATTGGAACCAATCAAATGAGCTTTTATCAAAATTTGAATGAGCCTCAATCTTTCGTTTTGTCATCTTGAGGGTATCTGATCACAACTCAACAATTTGTTATAAATCTATTAGAAATGTGAAGTTTACAGACATAATTTTGTAAATATTTGGTTTCAATTGATTATATGTAATTGTATAATTGTTTTTTCTCGTGTTGCTCTCAGGGTTTTGTTTCGGCAGTAAATAATATGCGGTCTTTCGTTCCAGCAATTTATGATGTTACAGTGGCTATTCCTAAAAATGAGCCTCGGCCAACAATGTTGAGAATGTTCAGGGGGCAATCTTCTGTGGTAAAGCAACAATATATCTGTGATATCAGTAATCCTAGAACTGAATATAATAGATTAGCTTAGATTAGACTATTGTCCAAATTGAAAATTTGTTTATGATGAATTTTGATTTATAGTAAATGCTAATGTGTCCCCGCTGTTGCAGTTACACGTGCACGTCAGGCGACATCTGATGAACGAATTGCCAGAAACAAACAGTGGCGTTGCACAGTGGTGTAGAGATATGTTTGTGAGCAAGGTAATGGATGAGGATGGTGAAGTACTTTATTTCATGGCCAAGATAGATATGACAGCATTTGTGTTGCTTGGTTTGTTTCTATCAATTAATTTGGAGGTAGAATTGGGAGTATAATACTAGAAAAATGAGTGTAAGATGCTTTTCATGTTCTGGGAGCAAAAAACAAAAAAAGTAAAAGAAAAATTTCCATTTTGTCTGAATGAAAGGAATTGTTTATTCTATGACTGGGGGATAGTTGGAGTCTATGTTATATGGACTCTGTATGAAGTATTTAGACACTCAACACTTGAATAAGGGAATTTGATGTCTGACACATGAAGTATTTAGCAATCATATTTCATAATTTTAGTACTTCACCATGAAAATATGCATACAACTCCCGTATGTACAAAATGCTCTGATTCCTTATGAACATCATTTTATCCTAGAAAATAAAAGAATTGTATTAAGAAATATGAATATTTTTCTGTGTCCCCTTATCCAAGACGTGAGAATGATGAATCAAACACTTAGACGCATAAAGTTTTAACAGGATGCTTTATTGGAGCATCATCTTGTCGAGGGCACTTTTGTTGACAAAGATCGTCAAGACATTGGTCGACCAAAAAAGTCTTTGTTTGTAAGATATACTCTTCTTCTGCTTCACACAAAATACATATATACACACATTTTCTCTTCCTACTTCCTTCCTTATCTCATTTACTTCAATTTATTAATTTTTTTAATTTTTGGTGCGAACAGGTTATGATTGGTTGGTCCTGTCTCCTTATATATGGAAGTATCAAATTTTTTGAATGGTTTTCAGGCCTGCCTTCATGGGAAGAACTCGCAATTTGTGTAAGTTTTCTGGCCATTGTTATGATCCTTATGCAGATCCTCATTGTATTTTCCCAATCCGAACATTCTATCCTGCCCAAGGTATCCCCCCCACGAGAACCAATGAAAGAGAATCTACTTCAATAATAAGGACATCCCCTGTGCACGAGAATCCTGTCACTGCGGATCTTTGTCAGATATGATTAAAACAACATTAATCATTTCCGGCCCATAAGTGCTTAGGAATTCGTTCCAATATCACCCATCAGTTCAATTAGTTCCCCAATATTTTTATTTTTATTTACTTTTTAATTTTTTGGTGACTGGAAAGCTGTAAAATGTGTAACATATTCGTGTGAAAGCTTGTTAGCTTCTTGTCAGCAGTTGTAAGTCATGGTAATTGCCATTTTAGCTTTGTAACAAAACACAGTTTCGACCTGATCCAGTAGGGGGGTAATATATTGTGTTTAATATGGCTTTTTTTGGCAATTCAGGTGTCTATATATTTTTTGGGTGGCATTTTAGGCTCGTTTGTTAATGTTTTTGTTTTTTTATTTAATTTTATATATAAAAAATTGAAAATGAAAACTTACTTATATACTAATTTTGTTTTCAAAAAAATGGATTTTTTTTTTTGAGAACAAAAAGAGATGGAATTGATTCACTCTCCCCTTCCTCCCCCACCAGCCCACCACCCACTGCCGCACCCATCCTACCGCCATCGCTGGCCAACCGTTGGTGACCCTTTGGTAAGCTTCAAGCTCTGGCCACCTTCTGGCAGGCTCCAATGATCTGGCGGTCATCACACGTGACCTTCGGCAGCCAATTTCGGTCACCCCACCACAGTTTACTGTTTGTTGTTTACAAATAAGAAACAAGTTAATTTTTTTTAAAACAAAAACAAAAAGCTTATTTTGTGTATACAAATATTTTGAAAATAAACAAAAATAGAAATAAAGAAAATTATTTAGTGAGCTACTGATGGATCTGGCGGTCATCACACGTGACCTTGGGAAGCCAATTTCGGTCACCCCACCACAGTTTACTGTTTGTTGTTTACAAATAAGAAACAAGTTAATTTTTTTTAAAACAAAAACAAAAAGCTTATTTTGTGTATACAAATATTTTGAAAATAAACAAAAATAGAAATAAAGAAAATTATTTAGTGAGCTACTGATGGTGGTGGCCAGAGAGGTCATGGGCAGTGACAGTTATCGGAGTCTGTTAGAGAGTTGTCGGAAGGTGTTTGGAGCTTGTTGGATGATCACCGACGGGTAGCGGCTGGAAGTGGTGGGAGGGAGAGGAAGGAGAGATTGAAAATTTATTTTGAAAACTAGAAAAAACTTTTTTTTTTTTTTTGTCTTTTTCAAAAATTTTGAAAATTTAGTGGTTTACTTTTCAAAATTTAATTCTGTTTTTAAATCATGATTTAAATGAAACATGCTAACTAAACATATTTTTAAAATACAACTCAAAATTATTTTCAAAACTCCTCTCTTCTCTACTCTTTTTATTTATTTTTTATTATTACTATTTACTCAATTAATCACTTTTTCTCTTTCCTCTCTCTTCTTACATTCTATATATCAATTAATAAATAAATAAAAAATATTACAAATCATTTCAAAATTATTTTTAAAATTCATAACTAAATAAATTCTCTCTTTTCAAATCATAACTCAAAAATTTAAAATTTAAAACACAACTTCAAGCTTAAATAAAAATTTTAAAACTAAGGGGTTGTTTGGGGTGTCCTAAATAAGTGCACTTTTTGTCTTTTTAGACTAAATAGTTGAGGAAAAAAATATGGTTGTTTAGGTTAACTTTTTGACTTTTTATGGAAAAATATGTATTAAAAAATTATATAAATTAGTGTGTAGGAGTTGTGCAATCGTAATTTTTGACTTTTGATAAATAATGATAATTTTTTAACTTTTTGAGTAACTTTTTAACTTTTTGACAGCTTCCTAAACTTGGCCTAAATCAAACTGATCTACAATTTTTTTTTTTTCCCCATGTGGTCATATATGACACAACGGTGACATGTTCCATTCTTCTCATCAAAACAATGAACAATTCAAAGAAGATATATAGATAACTAAATAAATAAAATTTATTTTGACAGTTAACTACAAGACCTACTTTATGAGCCTACAATTTGGTACTTTTGTCCCAACAACTAACTCATCATGGGTGTAAATTTCAAAATTGATTTTTGACTATGAAAAGTATAATTGATTTTTTTTTAAAGTATGAGAACTGAATTAGTGCAATTAAAGATGAGGTGTCAGAGTGAAATTTAGATGAAAATTTGAGGGTGGAGAGTGTAATTTACCCTATAATTTTTTAGTAAATTAAGAATGATTTTGCTTTCGAATATTTCTTATCTAACTACACCATTTTCTTCTTCACAAAATGCTTAAGAAAAATTAATCTTTCTATTAACAAAAATCTGGTAAAACTTTCCCATCAAATTGATTATTTAATTATAATAAGGAGATATAAAGCATTATAATTATGTAATTTTCTAAACAAGTTTATTTTCCATTTGTGTTTTTTTCCTCTTTCTTTATTTTTATTTTTATTTTTTGTTTACGTATAACAAAATTAGGAATGGATGGCCGTTAAGCGGCACGGACAAATGAACTTGTAAGAAAGTTTTTAACTTTTTGAGTAACTTTTTAACTTTTTGACAGCTTCTTAAACTTGGCCTAAATCAAACTTATCTACAATTTTTTTTTTCCCCATGTGGTCATATATGACACAACGGTGACATGTTCCATTCTTCTCATCAAAACAATGAACAATTCAAAGAAGATATATAGATAACTAAATAAATAAAATTTATTTTGACAGTTAACTACAAGACCTACTCTATGAGCCTACAATTTGGTACTTTTGTCCCAACAACTAACTCATCATGGGTGTAAACTTCAAAATTGATTTTTCACTATGTAAAGTATAATTAATTTTTTTATACAAATTTTTTTTTCTCTAATACCTTTAAAATATATTATTTTTTAACTATAAATAATAAGAAAATTACATTAAAACTCAAATTAAAGTATGAGAACTGAATTAGTGCAATTAAAGATGACGTGTCAGAGTGAAATTTAGATGAAAATTTGAGGGTAGAGAGTGTAATTTACCCTATAATTTTTTAGTAAATTAAGAATGATTTTGCTTTCGAATATTTCTTATCTAACTACACCATTTTCTTCTTCACAAAATGCTTAAGAAAAATTAATCTTTCTATTAACAAAAATCTGGTAAAACTTTCCCATCAAATTGATTATTTAATTATAATAAGGAGATATAAAGCATTATAATTATGTAATTTTCTAAACAAGTTTATTTTCCATTTGTGTTTTTTTCCTCTTTCTTTATTTTTATTTTTTGTTTACGTATAACAAAATTAGGAATGGATGGCCGTTAAGCGGCAGGGACAAATGAACTTGTAAGAAAGTGATATAGATAATAACTAGCAAAATTATTTCAAAGGTTTAAAACCTTAACTTCTCATATGAGAATGTGCTACAAGAAATTGATTATGAAGTACTTAAAATTGTATTAACTTTCACCAAAAAAAAAAAAAAAAACCTAGTAAGAAATAATCTTGTTGTCATGTACGACACCTTATCGGAGAGGAGGAACAAGGTGACCTCATGATCATGAGTTATTGAATAAGCAAACGGTTACGTGATATTTCAAAAAATTTTAGTAATTAATATGATTTTTACTGTGTTGGTGACTTTTATGAGCATGTATGAAACCAATTGTGAATCCTAATTAACAACTATGGCTCCATTGCCAGTCAAGTCCATTTTGTTCTACTCAAGGTTTTTCAGCATTAATAAAATGCATAAATGTGAATTTAAAATACATAAATTTGGATTTAATTACATAACTAAATCACCTAGGTCCTAGGGCTGTCACATTCCAGACAACCGCCTCACCCACTGATCAGTGCCAACAAATTGGAAAGTTTCTTGTGCAACTCACATCATACCTAATTTCTTTAAAAAAAATTTAATTACTATTATATGTAATTATTTTTATTTATTTTTTATGTTGGAATTGTGAAATCTAATTAATACTGTATACTTATCATGTGACCTTGCAGCAAATTGTACTAAGAATAATACATTAATCTATTGATATAAAACCCTAGCATATAGATTGATTTCTTCATAATAGTTGCGTTGTAAATTTGTAACTCTTCTCTTCTATCAATATAATCAAACTAGTATGAATCGTGAACGTAGGTAATCTAGTCAAATTACGTAAATTTGTGTTTCATGTTTTTTTTTATTTTTGTTTTTTTTGTGATTGTTTCTTCTTCTTATTATGGTTTGTGCTTGGTGATAAGAACATTAAGCCCTTGTTTAGCATCACCTAAAAAAGACAAAAAGTAAAAAAATCACTAAAAAAGTAAAAAAATTTATACTATTCACAATGTTTGAGCGGGAATCTAGGGCTGAATACTCAGAAGACAAAAAGACAATTTTGCCGTTGCTTTTGTCCTTTCCTCTAAGAACACAATAATTGTACCATTGGGCTGCCACCATTATGACATTATTGAATCCAACACAATAATTAAAAAAAAAAATAAAATTTGCCCAGCTCATGAGTGAGAAAAACCAAAAAAAAAAAAAAAAAAAAAACAAAAACAAACAAACAAACAGGGCAGCTCAGTGCAATGCCTTGAGTTTGACAACTTCACTGACATGCGCGGAAAGTATGTCTCCATTCAGAAGGGTAGGAAGGTAATTTTGATATTTTATACAATATTTTAATATATATTTTTTTGTAAAAAATCAAAAAGTTATCCCAAACAACCATCTTTTTTTTCCTCTACTTTTTAGCCAAAAAAATTCAAAAAATGCATTTATATAGTTCATTCTAAACAACCCTAAATAAAAATATGTTGATTGTATAGAATTTTCAAAATATTAAAAAAAAATAAAAATTGTGCAAATTGACTGTTTCTCATCTAATGTACAAATGGTTAGTGGACACCCATTATCCAGGACACCCATTATGAACGAAAATGAGAGGCTTTTGCATTTTTTTAAAAAAATATTTAAAAACCAGTAAGATTTTGTCAAACAATAGTATACAAATGCTACATTAATTGAAGGGATGACTATATAAAGGGTATGCCTCTCCATTGTAAAGCCATCATCAACAACAAGTCTTCATTTATTAATTTTTAGCAGCAGCCAAATCAAGTTGTTGCAAAAATGGCCTCTCTTTGGCAAAGGGCACTATGTGCCTTGGCTTTACTTTTGCTAGTTACAAATTATGTGGCAGCTTTCCCTGATCCATACATTTATGCATCCCCGCCACCACCTACTTCTTACGCATACAACTCTCCATCACCGTCGCCGCCAAATTACAAACATGAGAGTCCTTACCATTACAAATCCCCACCACCACCATCTCCGTCCCCCCCACCTCCTTATGTCTACAAATCCCCACCACCACCTTCTCCGTCACCACCTCCTCCTTATGTATACAAATCTCCACCACCACCTTCTCTGTCACCTCCTCCTCCTTATGTATATAAATCTCCACCACCACCATCTCCGTCTCCCCCACCTCCTTATGTTTACAAGTCTCCACCACCACCATCTCCGTCACCTCCACCTCCTTATATCTACAAATCCCCACCACCACCATCTCCGTCTCCACCACCTCCTTATGTCTACAAGTCACCACCACCACCATCTCCATCACCCCCACCTCCTTATGTCTACAAGTCTCCACCCCCACCATCTCCATCACCTCCACCTCCTTATGTATACAAGTCTCCACCCCCACCATCTTCATCACCTCCACCTCCTTATGTCTACAAGTCTCCACCACCACCATCTCCATCACCCCCACCTCCTTATGTCTACAAATCCCCACCACCACCTTCTTCATCACCTCCACCACCTTATGTCTACAAGTCTCCACCACCACCATCTCCATCACTTCCACCTCCTTATGTCTACAAATCTCCACCACCACCATCTCCATCACCTCCACCACCTTATGTCTATAAATCCCCACCACCACCTTCTCCATCACCTCCACCTCCTTATGTATACAAATCTCCACCACCACCATCTCCATCACCTCCACCTCCTTACATATACAAATCTCCACCACCACCATCTCCATCTCCCCCACCTCCTTATGTCTACAAGTCTCCACCACCACCATCTCCATCACCTCCACCACCTTATGTCTACAAGTCTCCACCACCACCATCTCCATCACCTCCACCACCTTATGTGTACAAGTCTCCACCCCCACCATCTCCATCACCTCCACCACCTTATGTATACAAATCTCCACCACCACCATCTCCGTCTCCCCCACCTCCTTATGTCTACAAGTCTCCACCACCACCATCTCCATCACCTCCTCCTCCATATGTGTATAAGTCCCCACCTCCTCCATCTCCATCACCCCCTCCTCCATATGTGTACAAGTCACCACCACCACCTTCACCTTCACCACCTCCACCGTATTACTACAAGTCTCCACCACCTCCATCTCCTTCACCTCCACCCCACTACATCTACAAATCTCCTCCCCCACCATCACCTTCACCTCCCCCTCCATACCATTACAAGTCCCCACCTCCTCCATCTCCATCACCCCCGCCACCATATTACTACAAATCACCACCACCCCCCTCATCATCACCACCGCCTCCTCATGTATACTACTATAGCTCTCCTCCACCTCCTCACAATGTTTACTAAAGGAACTACGACAAGGTCACTCCAATTTCGCTTTGCAGCTCATAGATTAATGAAAATGATAATAATTGTTGCAAGAAGGATTCTTTCTTGGTGGATTGATGGTCATTTTAGGTCAAACAAGACGGCTGGTGGGAGAATAAAGAGGGCTCAAGTATTCATTATGCTTCAAACTTCACTTTTGTGAAGATTTCATTCTACAATCACGTCTTTAAATACATTTTATTTATTTTCTTATTATATGTTCAATCAACGTCTGTCTAGATGTTGATAAATTTGAAATAATAAAAGCAAATTTATGCACAAAAATGTTTTATTCATTCTTATTCTGTCTTTCAATTCTATAGCGATCATGATCAGTTGAAGAGCAACACATTGTAAAATAGATTGGTGTGCTGGATAGCTATATTTACATGGACACGAGCACGTGTGCACGCGCATCTAAAGGTTGGACAAAACCATTTTGTTATAGAGAAATGAGAGAGTAAAATCACAAATTTAAGCCAATTTATAAGCACCTTGGCAATGATTTTATGTAGCGCATTGCATAAACTAAAAAAAGTTTAATTCAATAGAAGGATTAATTAAATTAAGACCCTCTGTTAACTATTAACGAATATCATATCATCTATACATTTTGAAATCTAAAAACTGTACAACGCCCTACTTTGACAAGTGGTGAAAGTGATGCATTTTCATAATTAAACGGATCAAAATTCATAGATAATGAAATAAGATGATGATATTGACAAAAAAGGATGAAAACCAAAGTTGATGAAATTTGTGAAAAAATTAAAATTGGGAGAGGGACATGGATTGTTTCCATCCAATCCAATCCAATCCACAAGCCAAACAAACCAACTCTCAATACGAAGATCCCATCATTGTCGAATCTGAGTTCGATTTGAGAGATCAAAATCTAGAAAACCCTAAAAAATTACAAGTTTGAATTATTTCCTCATCAATAACTCCAACAATCATCAATGGGAAATCCCAGAACATATTTTATAATAAAATTGTGTCTTGCAAATCCAATAAAACCCTAATTAATTAGAAACTAGAGAGAGAAAAAGGGAGGGAGAGAAGGACAGACTAACGGCAATATCACGTCGTCGCCGGAGGACTGCAGGTGCTCTGCTCCACCCCATGTTCTCTGTTTCGTCTTCTTTTTTTTTTTTTCTTTCTTTTTTTTTTTCAATGTCAACACGGCTACAAAATGCACTCTGCTTCTTGCACTATAGGTGATCTAAACTCGGGCCGGGCCGGTGGCCCATCATGAATTTGGTAAATTTGTACTTTTAACAGAGTTATTTATTTATTTATTTTGAGAAATTACAAAATGAAGCCAACTTCATCAAAATAATTACAAATTCATAGGATGTTTATGATTTTAATAATTAAAATTTATAAATTTTACCATTAATTTGAGAAAAAAAAAAAATCATCTTTCAACTGATATGTTATTTCCTCCCCTTTTTTTTTTATAAAGTCAATTTGAAGAGACCATAAAGTAAGAATGACACGAGTTAGGTTTGTGATAGATTTGTAATAACTCATTCCCGGGGCGGAGTATATGTATATCGAGAGATGAGTGGGTGAGAAACGAATTAATTTTATAAATTGAAAAATAATAATAATAGCAAAAATTATAGATAATATGGTATATTATTGATAATAATTTATACTTGATGACAATGATAATATATAAATTAAAAAATAAAAGAGTAAAAATTAATATTTATAGTTTTTTAATTTTATTATAATAAAAAAATTAAATATAATTGGAGTAGGGTCGAGTATAACGGGATGGAAGAAACAAAATCTGTCCCCGTTTCACTTCCTCAGGCGGAGAAAACCTGTGTGAAATGGAGCAGGAGAAAATGACCGTCTCTAATTACGAGGATCATTTTAATAATTTGTTTCATTTTTTTTTTTGTGTAGATTTTTCAATTAAGAAAAATATGAGACTAATTTGACAGCCAAAACTATAAGATTTTATCAAATTTATTTTTAAAAAATAAACAACATGTATGATTTTGAAAATAGATTATTGATTTTTAAAAAAAGCAAATGTGATAAAATCGTATGACTATGGTTTTTATCAAATCAATATTTTATTTTTAATAAATACTTTATAAATAAAAACTTTAAAAGTAAACCAACTGAATCATCTAAATAATTAATTTTTTGAGAAAAGAGTACAAGAGTTTTACAGCTTGGCATTTTGAAGCATTTGGAGTCATGCATTTGGGCAAAAAAACACATGGCAGCTCACTCATTCAAGGAAAATTATTAAATATTTTTGGAATATTAGGTGATATGGTTTACTTAGCACTTTTAGCAAATAAAAAATTACAACACACAATTATATTTTTAGTAGTTTTGTATTAATTTTTCTTCTTTAGCAAACCTTCTTTAAGTCAACTATTTTGTTTTCAAATTCTTTTTTCTCTTTTATAGTGCTACAAGGCTATTAAATAATACTTATTTATTTATTATGTAGATATAATTGGAATATCAAATGATTGGAAAGGAACATTAATTAATTTTCCTGAATAATAAAGGGTTATTGAGCAAGTGAGGGATTCTCATAGTAACAGAAGGTACAACTTATACAAGCACAATAAGGCTACTCTTGGCATTTGAAATACATCGTTTCATTGCTTATTACAATAAACTGATAGTGCAAAGAAAACTTTGCACAAAACAAAAACAAAAACAAAAACAAAAACAAAAAAATTACACAAAGAAGTATCTCCACTGTGGGGACTTCTTATTCACAAATAAACTTGTTTAAATTAAAAACTGAAAGACAATGCCGAAAATGCCTTCAAACACAACTTCAAAAAATGGAATTACTTATTCTTGTAGAAATTCAAGCTGATGCAATAGTATGGGTTGAGGCATAGGTGGCAGCGGCTCACTTAATAATGGTGCGGTGGTGATGGTGAGTTGTAGTAGTATGGAGGTGGTGGTGACTTAACTGGTGGAGGTGGTGATTTGTAGTAGTATGGAGGTGGAGGTGGTGATTTCACTGGGGGAGGTGGTGATTTATAATAGTAGGGTGGTGGTGGAGACTTAGATGGTGGAGGTGGGGATTTGTAGATGTATGGAGGAGGTGGTGACTTCATTGGAGGTGGTGGTGATTTGTAGTGGTATGGATGTGGATGTGGTGATTTCATTGGAGGAGGTGGTGATTTGTAATAGTAGGGTGGTGGAGGAGACTTAGATGGTGGAGGTGGAGATTTGTAGATGTATGGAGGAGGTGGTGACTTCATTGGAGGTGGTGGGGATTTGTAGATGTATGGAGGGGGTGGTGACTTCACTGGAGGTGGTGGTGATTTGTAGTAGTATGGAGGTGGAGGTGGTGATTTCACTGGGGGAGGTGGTGATTTGTAATAGTAGGGTGGTGGTGGTGACTTTACTGGTGGAGGTGGGGATTTGTAGATGTATGGAGGAGGTGGTGACTTCACTGGGGGTGGCGGTGATTTGTAGTAGTAAGGAGGTGGTGGAGAATGAGATGGTGGAGGTGGCGATTTGTAATAGTATGGTGGTGGTGGTGATGGAGATGGTGGGGGTGGTGACTTATAATAGTAGGGTGGTGGAGGTGATGGCGATGGTGGTGGTGGTGACTTGTAGTAATAAGGCGGAGGAGGAGACGGAGAAGGTGGCGGAGGAGATTTGTAATAATATGGTGGAGGGGGTGATGGAGATGGTGGAGGTGGAGATTTGTAAATGTACGGAGGTGGCGGTGATGGTGATGGAGGAGGTGGGGATTTGTACATGTAGGGTGGTGGCGGGGATGGAGACGGTGGAGGTGGAGATTTGTAAATGTAAGGAGGTGGTGGCGATGGTGATGGGGGAGGTGGCGATTTGTAAACGTAAGGCGGTGGTGGAGATGGTGAGGGTGGGGGTGGAGACTTGTAAATATAAGGAGGTGGAGGCGGTGAAGCATAAGGCGTATTAGCAACAACACTAGTTGCTGCTAAGCAAAATACCAAAGCATAGACAAATTGAGGCCATTGCCTCAAACTCCCTAGGCTTCCCATTTCGATCTCTATATGGGTTTGTGTCTTGGATGATTAGAGTGAGAGAGTACTATCCCCTTTATATACTAATCCATGGGAATGACTTTTCACAATGATTCTCTCTTTCTGTTTATTATGCCAAATAGGCTGGAATTAGAGGATAACAATTAATCAATACTAACCCAAATATCAATTTTTCCACATTTAAAAAAAAAAAATGTTTATGAATAAATATGCAGACTCATAAATTAATTACAGAATTAGATACACAATGTATATAAGCAAATAAAATTTTTCAAAACTAAATCTGCATGTATTTCTTATGTATCCGATATTGTAATCGATTTTTGTATTTGTAACAAATTTATTTTATTTATTTGTTTTTAATTTGCCAATTATGAGAAGGTGGTGTGCCGACATGTGAGAATTCGGTTTGGGAAGGTAACATATAGGGCCATGAACAAGTCAAGGTCTGGGGTGGGTAGGTAAGTTAATGTACCATATACGTACTCTCTCTCTACAATAATATGGGACTCTTCTTCTTCTTCTTCTTCTTATGAATCATTCATAAAAACGCGTTTTAGGCAAAATGGGCCTCAAGCTTCTTCTACAATGAGGTGGTGAAATGGACACACAAGAAAAATATTGAAAATGATTATATATAACGGTTTTTAAATTTTATTTATTCGCCACACAAATGACATATCTTTTTGTCTTAATGTAGGAAAATTCTAGTGAAAATTATATTTATGTATAGGATTACTTAATAAATATACACACACAATTATATGAAAAGTTGATGGATTTGGGACATTATATTTACGTAGTATTATTCGTCAATGAAAATTTACAATGTGCACTAATAAAAATGAGTTGTCACAACTGATAAACTTTCCACTACATGATTAATTTGAAATATTTTAAATAATATCATATCGTACTCTGAGACTTCTGGATAATTTAAGAGAAATTACATACCAATGAAATCTTTTTAAAATAATTACTATTTCATGAAAAAAATTATAATTTTAATTGCTAAAATTTGTAAAATTTTTCATTGATCTAAAATTATTTTTACAAAGATCCGCTGATTTGTTATTTCCTCAATAATTTATCTCCACATAAATACATATATTTAAGCTTTAATTCAAATTGCACTCTTGCTTCAAATTCATGTGATGGGTTAATTAGACTTGCTATAAATTCATGTCATGATATTGGCTTGTTTTGGAAAGTAGGTTAAAAGTTAACTTCTTAATTTTTTTTAGCCTTTTTTGAAAAAATATGTAAAAAAAATTAGAGAAGTGATATGATTCGAAATAGACTAAGTGACTTTTAACCAAATTCCTAAAATAGACTATTGTCATATTTTTACAGTGAAGTATATATATTATTTTGTTTATCTCCACATATCATTTATGTTAATTCTAATTGTTTTAGCCTAACAAAAGAGGAGTTAATTTACCTTTTCTAGAATCACGAAACAAAATGATTAAATTTAAATTAAATGAAACAAAGAATATCACATCATTATCTATATAAATTATTTTTGAATAAACTATTTTTTATTTGACACAGCTATTGTAGTTAGGTATAAGAATATGCACACATGTTAAGTTTATATTCAATTCACCGGCACACTAATAATATATCATATCAATTTGGAAATTTGGTTAAAAAGTATTTTTTACTTTTAATCTATTTTAAGTCACATTATTTTTTTATTTTTTTACACGTTATTTAAAAAAAAAAATTAAAAAGTCAAAAACTCAATTTTTAACTTACTTCCCAAAACAAATGTTTTTAAAAGGGGCAATTACATCCTAATATAGCTTTACAAAAATAATTACATATCTATAATAAATTTTATGATTTTAATTATTAATATTTATAAAATTTATTATTGGATGATTTGATATTTTATCCTTTTTAAAAAAACCTATTCTATTCAATGATTTTGTAATAATTGTGACCAGGTACCCTCATTGACTTTGGTGCTCTATTCACAACATTAAATTTTTTTTCAATCATACTAAATACTACTAATTTAATAGTTCTAAATTTACCACTAATGAGGTGAAAAACTAAAAAAAAGCAAAAAAAAAAATAGACACAACACATACTGTGACAGTAGGCGAGACCCACTGCCACATTATTAGTGGTAGCTTTAATTAGAACTCTCACTCATTTTTCATTTTTTTCCCCTCTTTTTCTATCTAATAAAAAATTAATTATAAATATAAAAAGACTTACAATTAAATAATTATAATCTAACAAGAAGCCCATGAAATTGACCACTTAACTTCTCAAATAACAATGCACATAAATGACTAAGTCTTCGTTTAACATTCATTTTTTTTTTTTTTGGTTGACATTTTTTTAACCTTGTTTAGTTTGATTTTTTTGAATTTTTTGACTTTTATGAAAAAAAAAATATAATAATCATAGTTTGAACGTGATATTTTGTCTTATTGACTTATGTAGTCAATTTTATCTTTTTGTATTTTTTAAACTAAAAATCAAATGTCAAACAAAGCTTAGCCTAATTGCTTCGTCAATTCATCTTTTAAATTGTTAAAAATTGAAAGTCATCAAATGATTCCGAATTATTTCGAATTGATAAATATGAGTCGTCATTAATTTCTTAATTAAAAATTGCAAGTACCTAAAAAAAAATGTATGATTAAATTTATTTGTTATATATATATATGATAAATCAACCCATATAATACTTTTTTGAATAAATTTTGAATATTTTTGTAAATGCATCAAATTATTGTTAATTATAGGTGTCCCGTATAAAATGTTGAAGAGAATGGTACAGTTGTGCAAGTTTGGTAAGGGAATGAAACAAGTCAACCCTTTCTTGTCTGGTTGTTAAGGTGTGCTTTTATTTAATTATCTTTTGCTTGTCCTTTTTTATTATAATTATTATTTTTTGCTTTTTGTTGTTTTGTTATTTTTTGTCAAAGTTAATGTCTGTCTTTGAAAATATAATTTTTCTCTTCTTTTCTTTTTCCAAAAAAAAAAAAATATATATATCCAATCTAGAAACTTGGTCAACAATAATACAAAGTTGTGCAAGTTTGGCAAGGAAATGAAATAATTTTTGCATAAAATTGTTCCCCGGATTTAAGATATGATTTTGTTTGTTACATTAATTTTACTGATTAAATAAGCAAAGCAAAATTTTATACGTGTACTAGTTAATAAAAAAAAATTAAAAACTCTATTTTTAAAGTTCACCATGCCCGAAAAATTCGGGCCGGCCCTTAAGAACTGAATATAAATATTCAATGCATATGGTTTGAAAGATTTTATATGAAAAAGTATTTACTTAGCCTCCGTTTGGCATAAGTTAAATAAATTTTTTTTTGTTAAGATAATCACAAAAGGACAGAATATATTTTTTAATTTAATAAGATAAAATGTCACATTTAAATCATAATTATTTTATTTAAAAGTCAAAAAATTAATCACAACGAGACTTTTTAACCCCAAATTAAAATAATCAAAAAGTCAACTCACATTCCAAACCAACCCTTAGAAATTAAATGGAGGGTTGAGATTCAAATGATGTGCCGTGAATTTATGTAAAGATTAAATTTCAACCACACATTCATAATTTTAGATAAAATTTTAGTATAAAATTCTGTATGGAATGTGATTACTTTTATATATCCATTTTTTTAAGGAAGATAGCTCGTTTGGTTTGAGAAAAACTAGAAGAGAAAAACAATAAATTGGAAAATAGAAGAAAAAACAAGAAGTTAAAGGAAATTCGATGACCGTTCATAGGCAATACAAAATAAAGTTGGCAAAGCTATATTTATTTACTCCGATCTTATACAAGGCAGTATTTGATCCATTATAATTAAAGTAGAATAAAATAATTATTTAGTTTTTTTTTATTTTATAAAATGATTATTATTTTATAATAATAAAAAATAAATATTTTGATGTACTGATTTTTCTTGTACTTTGTAAGAGTACATATTGAGAAAACAACCAATATCGAATTTGGATGACTTTTGTGTCTATTGTAATTCGTGGACTTGTTAGATGTGATTACATTACATATTTTTAAATAATTGAATGTGAAGTTGATATAGTTATCATAATAATATTTAAAAATTATAAAATCCCAATCAAGAATTTTGAAAAAAATATTAAAAAATGAAAGTCCCTATCTCATCTTCTGACATTTGTAATAAATACTACCACCAATTCAAAAAACTCATTCCAAAGAAAAGCTCATTCCAACAACCAAAAATCACATCAAAAAGAAAAAGTATTAAAATGCTTGGTTGCAATCAGCTGGGTCTTTAACCCTTATATACTTATTTTATTCAATTCAAAATTAAATAAATAGTAACAAACAAACTTGATTTGGGTTCCAAAAAAAAAATTTATTGCCAACCTTTTTTTAACTTAACCCAAAACATTGTTTGAATTAGTTTTTCACATTATATTGTTGCCAAGCGTTTATATCTGTAAATTATTTGTTTAATTTTAAATTAAAAAATAAAAATAACTAAATGTGGTTAAAGGGCCAAATTAACTTGTTGAAAAATTGAACCAATGAGGAAAATGAAAAACAAGAATAATAAATCCATCTTCAACCGAGGCCACATCAAAGTTCAAGAGCGAGCCAAACTCTACAGCTTTGAAGTAACCCATGGCATACTTGGAGGAAAAAACTCGAACTACCCTCAACAAAAAGGTTCTCATACTCAAAAACCGATATTGGTGGGTAGATAGAGAATAGCTAGGAGTGCAAGACAAGTCACTAAAGAAACTTGGCAAATTGCCCCATAACTTCATGAGAGGGGCACAGAAGTCTTAAACCTCCATATAAAGTGGGAATTCATCTTAACCATCTACTAATATAACAAACTTGAACCAATAAAAACCATTGTAATGAGCTTCATAACAGAATCATCCCCTGTTGTGTTCATGATCTTTCATTTTACTACAGAAGCTAATAAAGTAGACCTAGTGTAGAAACCGTGGAAAAACGAAAACGAAAACGAAAGCAATGTTCTGTGAAGAAAATAAAACTAAACTCAGAAAGACAAACAAAAAACAAATGGAGGTACTTCTCTTTATGCTTGCTAGCGACAACTCTAGTGCTTTGACGCATCACCAAACACCTCAGTGTAGCAAATGGGGCAAGCCTGAGAAAACAAACACACCGCGAGTAATTTACTGTCTCTTGGTAAAAATGAGAAGTGATTATTATAATTAAGGCAGCAAATGAGAAATGATTCACTATTAACTGTATTAAATGTGAAAATATATTCCCAAGTCTTCATATTCAGAACTTAATTACATAATGGTCAAAAAAGCATGGGCACAAATGTCTTGTTGTCCATACCTTTTTCCTTTCCCCTACAGACTCGCCAAAGACCCAAATCAAAGCTTTCACCTATCCTTGAAGAATAACTCCAAGACTGAAGAACTATTGAGGAGCCAATGAAAGTTCAAGTGAGGTCATTTGGCCATCTTTTGCGGTGTTGTTGGGTACTTTCGACAATGATAAGGTGCGAAGTCAGCAGCATTATTCCCGATAATTCTTATGAAGATCATCGTAAATTTCTATACAAAGCACTCAGGTTTGATGTTTGAGGTTGATTTCTTTTCAGTAAGATCAAAAGAGTGGAAACCAGCAAAAGTCGGGGTTGCAGTGGTGGGAGGAGAGGGAGGGGGCAACAGAGGTCGCCGGAGATAGGGAGGGTTGATGATTGGGTTGGACAAGAAGGGCATGGACACGAGTCATTTTTGTCCATGCTTTTTCGACCATTATGTAATTATCTTCGATACCAAGACTTGGAAATATATTTTATACTTAAGTTTCGTTTGTCAACTATACATTTTAGTCAAAATGTTATTATAAGTTGTCACATCACTATCTTTATTTTTCTGCACATCTTTTCGTAAAAAGCCAAAAAGTTATTAAAATAGCATGTTCCAAAACGAGGCTTTAATGGACTAATAGTGAATAACTTCTTGTTTTGCTGTCTTTTATTTCTACTAAAATACTTCCCATCCCAGCAAATTTAGAAGCTCACCTTGTTGATACTAAGCCATCTGGTGCCACAATCAGCATGGTAGAGGTGTTTGCATGGAAGAATCACCTGCTGTTCACCTCGTTTATATTCCATCTGGCAAATTACACACCTGTATTACAACAAGAGAGAATCAATCAACAAGGAAATTTTGGGTCATGACAAAGATCATGAGATTTATACAAAAGATGAATAAAAAATCAAAATCTAAAAGTAGTCCTAATAACATATATATGCACGTGCAGTGCAGTGCAGTGCAGTGCGTGTGCACATTACCATGATATGATGTGTAAAGACATCAAAGTGATCATATTCTTGAAATTATTCACACAGTAATAACATGGTACCAAAAATCATTTCTTATAGGAATACATGTGGGAGCATGTGTGAAGGTTGAGTCCCACATCGGATAAAGAATAAAAAAGAAGGAGTCTTAATATATATTGGATGGGCTCTCCACTTACAGGTTTAAGCTTTTAAGTTAGTATGAGTTTCAAATAATGGATGTTGGGCCTTAGTGATACGTGTGTGGGCCAGTTTACGTGTCAGATTTTTGACGACATTACCACCATTCTAAAGGCCCTAAACTGAGGAAGAGAGTAAATTATTGTCCACTGAGCTAAAGTAACTGGTGACAAACCTAAGTACTGTCTGAAATGGGCTTCTTGTGAATGAAATCTGATCTCCAATTCTTTATGCCATTAGAAAAGTGGTAAAATTAAACAATGATAATAATATTCAGTATGTTTGGTTTCATTTTTCTGAATTCAGTTTTTTGAAAATTGAGTTTTTTGTTTTTCGTGTTTTTTTGTTTTTAATGAATATTTTTAAAATTTTAAGCATTTTTTTTTTACTTTTTTAAATGCATCTTACTTAGATGTATCTAAAAATTAAAATATTTTAAAAAATTAATGAACACACAAAAATACAAAAAATATACTGAATTTTACTTCTTTTTTTTTTTGTTTGTATTTTTTGGTATCTAGTGAATTTTTTAAAGATTTTTTTCACGAAAATTATACTTTTTAAGTATATTTATGTTTGGTGTGTTTAAAAATTAAAAAAAAAAAAATGCTTAAAATGTTAAAAAAAATCAATAAAAACAAAAAAAAATATATGGAAAACAAGAAAGTAGAATTTCTGAAAAGTGTTTTCAAAAAATTGGAAACAAACATGGTGATTTGGTTTTTTAAGTAAAAATAATAGTAGTAATAATTATAAAAAAGAAAAAAGAAAGCACAAGGCATTTCAAAATGTAAATGCATGGTCTCAGCAACAGCAAATTGAGAGAAAAGAAGGTAATGGGGTTAAGAAGCATAAATTGTACCTTTCATTTCTAGATTTCTTTCTTGAGAAGAAGCCAGACTTGAACTTTCTTACAGGAAGCAAGGAGATAAGGTCTTGGGAAAGACCTCGACCTTGAGTTCCAACTGCCTCACCTAACTCAAGTAATTCCTGCGAACAAAAGAACATGTAGTTGGTATCTTCAAAAACAAATATCAATTGTTGGTGTTACAACTAAATCACAACTACAACTACTTTTAATTTTAAGTATTGTTGACTTTCAAAAGCATTAGGTGTAAACCTTAAAGGAAATTAGCTACTCCTTTACTGAACGTAAAAAAAATTAATATAAGAAACTGAATTGGCACATATTCAATCTGAAGGGTGCCATTCACCCTGTGGTAGAACACTTTCAGAAAGTTTATGCATTTAAATGAAAGTAGGACAAAAACTTACGGTTCTGATTTTATCCAATATAACAGATTTAGACATCCATGATTTAAATTGATAGAAGAAGATAAAATGTAGATTTGGCTCATGAACAGATGAGGGATTTATTAGCCAAAAATAAAAGGTTTAATGTATTGAACCTCATAAGTCATGTTGTCAGGATCAACATTGTCTTGCCAAACGACCTGCATCAATCCACAGAGAAGGTGAGATGCATAATTAACTAACTTGGTATCCTATCTCAAATTATAATATTTGTGTACAAATAAGGTTATTACAAAGAAGAAGGACAAGAAGTCAACACTCGTATGTAGGACCTTCAAAATGTAAATGCCACCACCAGAGAGTTCAAACATATTATACTAATAATATTAACAATAAAATAGTACTGCTAGTCAATGAAAATCTTATCAGACTAAACAGACTAGCCCATGCAGAGACTGGAAAGCTTGCCAATTGATCATACATGATTAAAATTGGTCATTGGTCCTATGTGCGTAGGTTATTGAAGAAAAACAAATGGTTTTTTACACATGTAAGGCATTCAGGCACAATTTGTTTTACATTAGACTACCAAAGAGAGAGCACTATACCTGATAATCACGAGCATTATGATTACCTTGGAGACCTGAAAAAAATGAAGAAATTACTTAAACGGAGATGTGGTATGTCATTAAAAATCTGCAAGTAAATATTGTACAACTAGCAACAAAATATCAAAAATAACAGCAGCAAGAGGCGCAAAACAAATAAAACTTCCAAGGGATTGCTACTAGGAAGTGAATGTGATATTTTTTCCACTGTACCCATTACTTCCCTCCATTGCACAAAAGATGGACTCCTTTTCCTTTTTGGCCGTCTCATAATGTTACTGTTATAAAAATTCAATGCACAAACTTTTTACAATATTCTTGCCATGAAAAAAGCCTAACAATATGTTTGAAGTATGCAAACAAATGTGAATGCTTTTATTAAATCAAAAAATGGGAGGGTAAATTTGGAAACTGGAGTCGAATTGCAAAAACATGAAAACAGCATCTTCCAACAACACTAGCTCTTTTTAAAGAGGTTAGTCACGGTACAACCAAGGGAGTATATCTTTTTAAAGTGCCAATGCCTTTAGACTACTGAATTACAATGCAATATGCCAGTAACTAATCAATCCAATATACCTTCTGCCTGAAACCAACTGGAAAAGTGGTATGGAAAGTTGTCAAGTTAAATATGAAATTTAAAATTATTTCTTTTAACTGCCCAAGTGATTTATGCACACTAGCTTTGCCATTTGAGACTCACATCTTTACCTAATTTCCATACAGCTCTTCAATTTAAGACTGCCAAATGAAAGAGAAAACTATATATTTGGACAGCCATATGACAAGTTCATACTTCATACTTCAATAGGGAAAATTGGAGTTCAGGCTGCACAACTGAAGTCCTGTTAGAGAAAGACCTGACTAAACTGGGACCTTGCTGAAGCAAAGGGCCCATAAAATTGAAACTCAGAATTCAATTGAACAGGTGTTATCATATCACTGGGATAATATACTAACTAGAATTAGCATGGTGATAAATTGGAAAAGTAGGTATTTGTGATGAAAACACTTGCTTCCCAAGAAAGCTTGTGCTGCAAATCTGTCATATGGGATCCACCCATGCAGCCCCCTTGGGTAAGTAGGCACGTATTTAAGAATATTATAGAAGTCGATATAGGTGTGGGTATATGTGTCCAAACTCCTACATGGCATGCCATGGCATTATCTCCTTGAACTTGGGTCCCACATGTTAGCCTCGTGAGGTGACACATGGATCAATCAACCATCTCTAAGTATCTTGATGCTCTCTCCTGTTCAACTCACACCAGCTAACTAACATACACAATGCCTTTGCCCTGAACCACAATTCATTTTCCAGGACATCAAATTAGAGACTCTCACAAATCTTGGTCATCTAAATGCATGAAGGTGGTTTTTTTGGTAGGTCTGAGATAGACACAGAACTGCATATTAGTGTATATTGTTTCAATCTACATGGTTTGTGCATGTTGCACACATATTTGTATATAGTCTAGATATAAATCACAACAATGAAAACAATCAAACATCAGATATGTGCCAAGTTGCCATGTTATTATCTTTATCTTGTTTTGTTAGGATTATAAATGCATAACTAAAATACAAAACAACTGCAATATAGAAGAACACACCAAAGCAGCTGTTGTACTAGTGTGGCAGGTGAACCACCTAATATACCTCATTACTGAAGCACATACAGATGGACACAAAAGATATAGGATATGAGATGACCAACATCAGGTTCATGGTTCCAACACACTAAGCTCAGATGCCAGTGGTCACAAGCGAATCATCTGGACAAATTTAACCTTAAGGATTATATCATACAATAATCAACATAACCAGCCAAAATCCAACACTACCTGAAAAGATAACACAATAATCTACACAACCACAAAACCCCTCATTCTAATAACATATTTCATTTCATCAGTTCACAAGACTCCGGCATATTGGCATTTATAACAATATCTTTTAGGAAAACATCACGAAAATGAATCAGAACTTACATTCTACATCTACATGATTAGCATCAATATTTGTGCTTGAATTTCCTTCCCATTGTGTATGTACAGCTGCAGTCTGTTCACTAGTCATTGTTGAAAAGTTCTCCAAATGCCTACTATATTCATCCATTGTTGGTGCATGTTCATTGAGCACATGAGCAGGACTGTAATCATAATATGAAACACTCCCCGGTTCAGATAACCCAAATTTGTACAAGCTTGTATGCATTGAAGGGTACATGCCCTCCTGCACAAATAGAAGGAAATAAAATCCATGTGAAATTAATGTAATCATAAAATTGATCTATCATGCAAAACATTTTTGCAGGCAATCACTTACCAATAATAATAATAATATAATGCAGCCAAATGATTCAATTATAAGCATTACTCTTATAGTAGACAAGTAATATGTACAATTATGCACATATTACTCATAGACATTTACATTGCATCACAAATCTTCAAACTTGAACCTGATTGTAGCCAAAAGAATATAGAAACTAAAGATATTGTTGAGGATAAGTATACTGAAGATGAAATTTCATGATTAAAGGGTCAATCAAATCATTGAAACTAAAATCTCATGATTCATGGATCAATCAAATCCTTAATTATTGACAAGGTTTATGTGTTTTGATATTTATCTCAAACCCCACATGATTGTATTCCACACACATATATACTTGTATAGGGGATGCTCATGTATAAAAAAAATAAAAAATGCTTGGGACCCCCAAAGTTGGGGACTCCCATGACCCCCAAAATGATGTGGACCAATCATGTGTTTTTGTTGTTTTTTTTTTTTTCTTTCCTTCTTGGACCAATCACAGGTGAGAGAGGGTTGTGGGGTTGTGTTTTTTGGGAGCCTGTAGCATTGTTAAAAAAAAATATCCAAGTAAATCAATAACGATGTAGGCTATTGCCATTAGAATATAGAAACTTGAAATTAGTTGTAGCCAAAAGAATTTAGAAACTAAAGATACTATTGAGGATAAATGTATTGAAGATTAAATCCCATGATTAATTGGTCAATCAGATTTTTGAAACTAGAATCCCATGATTCATGGGTCAATCAAATATAGTAATTATTGGCATTGTAATGTATTTTGATATTTATCTCAAACCCTACGTAATTGTATTCCACTTATATAGATGCCCATGTATGAAAAAAATCCAAGTGAATCATCCTCTAAGGCCGACCGCCATCTATCGTCTCTTTATTCTGTCTGTCATGCCATGTTGCCCTGTTTCAATCTCTCATTCCATCTCTCTCATAATTATACTTTGGGGCTCATTCCTTGTGTCTGTACCACCATATGATGAAGCACTCTTTTGATCAAAGAACCCAAACAATCCTGTATTGGCTTCTAAAAATCAGCCCAGACATCTTTTTCGGTCATGCATTAATCCTTTTCATTTCTTAACTTCTCGCATTGATTTTAAATTCTTAAAACTGTTTTTAGCACGTTTCCATTTTGTGACCAATTGGATTCAGTACAAAATTTGCAAGATATCTAATTCCTTGCATCTTTTGCGTGTGTTTCCATGATGTTAATTCTGTGCCAAAAAAAAAAAAACCCGGTTTGTCATTCAGGGAGACTATATATCCATCGCTCATTCTGTGCCTATTTCATGTGTTTGCATGAAAATAAATTCCATTCGCTCTCTGTTTACATGATGTTCATTTCATGCCTATTCTCTTGTGATTGCATTGATGGATAAATTTCACACACCTCTATTTTGCACAATGTATCATCTCATGCACTCTTGATCAAAGCTGCATTTCTGGCACTTTAAACAAAGCTGCATTCCTGACAATTTCAGTATAGCCACAACCTGACAATTTTGCATGATGCCATTCCGGCACACTCCAACAATAACTATTTTTTGGCAATTATTTCATCTTCATTTCAACCATTTGTGTTCCAACTTGAGGGTAAGTGCATTGAAGGCAAAACCCATGATTCATGGATCGATCAATCAAGTCCCGTAATTATTGACATGATTTATGTATTTTGATATTTATCTCAAACCCCAGTTGATTGTACTCCACCTATATATACAGGGGATGCTCATTCATACAAAACATCCAAGTGAATTAATAACAATGTAGCCGAGTCCATGAACATAGGCACGAGAATGACGTAAATATGTGGTTTTCCTTCTTTTTAGTTCCTTGTTGATTTCTTTTCCTTTACAAAACTTAAAAATATTTATTTTAGCATATTTGAGAACACAAAATGATGAAGGTATCAAATAAAAGTACCTGAGCAGGCAATGAATCAGCAAAAATGAAATTCACATGTTCATAAGCAAGGCCTTCGAAGAAATTTATAAAGCTACCGGCTGAATTATAAGGAAAGGTAGCGTTTGCGTAATTAACTTCCATTTGCGGGTTCCAACTCATTTTAACCCAGTCTTCTGTCAGCCACAAACACAAAAGAAAATCAAGATGACGAGCATTTTAGGTTAAGAAAACGCAGAAACGAACGAAAATTTATCAGTGGATGTGAACCTGATTCTCCCACAAATTCAGTCCTTCAGATCCAGTCAACCAACAACTGAAAAGCAGCAGCTCATTACAGTTTTCTGCTCAATTTCATATCTTTCTGCAAATCCTGATGCGCAAACAGCTACAGGAGAAATAAGTTAAAATGAGAATTCAGAAACAAATTGTTAGAACTTCGAATAAAATCCAACCCACAATATAAAACCAGCTAATGATCTAAATTCAGCATGACTGCATTAACAACTGTCTTCAGTTTTGTACAAATCTTCAATTAGCAAAAGTCTATGCATTATAATTACGAACAGTTATTGGGCATCTCTCCTCAAAGTTGATACAAGACATAGTAAAATTTCCCATAGAGATTGCTTTCAAAGATGAATAAATTCTCAAGAGAGATTCACGCTAAATCTTCTTCTTCTTTTTTATTCAAGAACAACCTGAAGAAAACAGCAGGAAAACATAGAAGAACCCTAAGCCAACACAACATTTGACAAATTACAGCTAATTTCAACATGATTTCTCCAGAAAACTTCACTAAAAATTAAGCTACTCTGTTCGGTTTCTAAAATTAAGAATCTCAAAGAGTCCATATGTAATCTATTTCCCTAGGGCCTACATTTTCTGAGCAACCAAACAGGAAAAAAGAATCCACATTACACATCAAAATGAATACTACCTTCAATCACATTACTTTCATCGATTAACTCACTCCTCAAACTTCAACAATTCTAAAGAAACAGAAAGAACAAAAAAATAATAATAATAATTAAATAAATAAAATTTTCCGAGACATTAACTAGCGGATTTCCTCGAGAAAACGCAAAAGAAAATTAAAGGAAATCGAAATGAATGAATTGGAATTTGGATCCAGAATGAATAAAGAAAGAAAGAAGGAAAAATGTGAGATAAGAATATAGATTGCTTGAGAGAGAGGCTAAAGAGGGATTAAAGAACCGACATTGATTGCTTTTTGAACGCAATCTCTCCTTTAAGCTGATGATGATCACACAAACCACCAAGCAAGCAACCCACCCACCCAAACCCCTATCTCTCGCTCTCTCTCTCTCTCTCTCTCTCTCTAAAAACTGTCACATTCTCTCTCTTGGGAAGATTAGAGAGAGAAAATAGCTTCCGATTCTCACTCTCTCTCTTGATTCTGCACACACAATTGTTGGGGAGAGAGAGGTGGCGGCTTTTATGCAGGGGTTACGGAAGCACGCTAAATGGGGGAACGATCTGCTGCGTACCGGTAGGATTTGGGTGGTTGTTGTGCAGTTGTTCCGTCGAATGAGTCCATTTTAATAATTTAAATGATTCATATTTTAGAATATATAAAATATATCTGTAAAAAATTAAATTAATCGAATATTATTTATCATTTTATCCGTTTAAATTTGTATTTATTTTAATACTTTAAATTAAAATTATTATTTGTATTTATTTTAATACTTTAAATTAAAATTATTATTTATTTTTGTAAATATAAATATGAGTGGATGAATAAGTAAACGGATAGTAAACGATATCTAATTAATTTAATTTTTTATAAATATATTTTACTTGATATATTCTAAAATATCAACGATTTAAATTATCAAAATAAATCTTAAAATGAATATATTTAATTGCATAATAGTAACTGCTATACACCCCATACAATGACGACTCCAAATCCGTAGCGGTACAGGCCTGTGCCACAAACTACTCGAGTCGAGCTTTTAATTATTTAAACTTGGCCACTATTTGCCATTCCTATAAAAGCGTATTTTTTTATTTTTATTTTTGAGTTATATTATGGAGTGTTTTAGAAAATTGATAAAAAAATTAATTTTTTGACTTTTTGAATTTTTTGGTGGCTTATTTGACAAAAAAATTAGGTTATTTTGGATAAAAAAAATTGAATTTTTTGGCTAAAAAACCAAAAAAATTAAAAAATTTACTTTTTTGTTGTTGTCAAAATGCTCCTATTTTTTTATTTTTTTATAAAAAATTCAAAAAAAATTATTTAAATCATTTTAAATGTCTACTTATTGGCCCTGTTTGGTAGAGCTGTAAGAAAGTGCTTATAGCTTATGCCTTAACAGCTTATAGCTTATAACTATGAACATAAGTTGATTTCTGACTTATAAAATAAGCTTCTCCTGACCCACTTAAAGAATAAGGTGATTTCTGACTTACAAAAAGCTATAAGCTGCATTGTTAAGTTAAACCAAACATATCAAAATAACTTAAATTAAGCTGAAAGCTGAAATAAGCTAAAAAAAAACTGTACCAAACAGAGCCATTAAAAGTTAGTTGAGGTTGAGCTCAACTGATCAGATATTTAATAAACTCGCACTTCCTCAATTATACAAACGAGTTGAGTTTGAACTCGATTTGAAAAAATAATTAAAATTAAAATTATTTATTTATTTATTTATTAATATAAAAAAAAATCATCTATTAAATTTGGGCTCAGTCGAATTATTCAAATTATATAAGTTGGACGTTCTATAGGATGACCGCTTGGACGACCGGTGACAGCCTTATCAACACCGACTGTAATCCTTGTCTATCAGTATGTCAATCAACATCCGATCGGCATACATAAATTTAGATAAGGATCATGATTGAGACCCCCTCCAATCACCACCCCTACCATCCCCACACACACGTGGCGGGTGGTGATTGGAGGAGAAGAAAAAAAAAAAAGAAAAAAAAAAAGAAAAACTGGCCAATCATGTTGAGAGGGGGTCAAAGGGGGTGAGAAAAAGGGGGTCTGGAACATTATTGATTAGATAATTTAGACAAATATAAATTCGATAGATGTAGCATTGCTCTAAAAATACGTGTAAAATATACAATAATGGTTATATTAATAATAAATTTCAATGAAACACTATGGTATAACTGTATACCATATGTACCTTATAATTAAAGAAAAAAAGACATACTTTTTGAGTTATAACTATAAAAATAAAAAAAGAAAAATATTATAACCAAACACAATATGAGATATAACTAAAGAACCCATGGGTCATAATTAAAATAATGACATAACTAAAAAATAAAATTGGTCATAACTAAGGGTACATTTGATACACCATTTCAAAAGTGTGTGTTAAAATTTCTCTAAATTTCATTAATCAAATATGTAAATTTACACAAATACTAAACACCAATAGAAAAATAAAATAAATTACAATTAAAAAAGTATTTGATATATTATTAAAAGTAAATATTAATTTAATTTCTTTATATTCATGAGTTTTATTGAGGTAACTGACCATTTTAGTAATTTTTTATTTTTTTATGAAAAGATGTGTAGAAAAATAGAAATAGTGATGTGATAATTTATAGTGACTTTTTGAATTTTTAACTAAAATATGTTGTCTCCAAACGAGATGTTTGTTTGGGTTGGCTTTTCTAATATTTTTTTGATTTTTGTGAGAGAAAAACTGAAGTGATTATAATTTAAATATAACATTTTATCTTATTGATTTTTTAACCTATTTTATATTTCTGTGGCTAGGCCTTGTTTGAGAACAAGCCATTTTAGTAACTTTTTTGCTTTTTGGTTAAAATATGAGGTAAAAAAATTAGCAACGGTAATAGGTATTTTACCTATCTAAATATTACTATAAAGTATATATTTTATTTTACCTATCAACTATTTTATGTTTCTACTCCAACCATGCTCTTTATTTTAGCTATTCATCTAAATACTATTAATTTTATAAAATGCCACATCAGCAACAAAGATGGAGGGAAATGATCCTAATGATTAAATATATTTTGCCTAGTCTTGAAGGCTAGCTACATGTAGCTAGTGAATGTGAGTTGAGCTAAAATGCCTAATCATATGCCTAGTGCATTGGAGTTGAAAAAAATGAGTTATACTAGGCATTTTGACTAACAAGCATGATATGCCTAGTGGGTTGGAGATTATAATGACTTTTGATTTTTTACAAAAAGATGTGCAAAAAGTAAATAAAAAATGAAACCTTTGACTTTTTGATATAGGTTATAAACTTTTTAATTTTTTTTAGTAACTTTTGAACTTTTAAACTAAAATAAACACATGCTAGACGAGGCCTAAAAAAGCTATCAACATTATTTTAGCTTATTGCCAAAGTTGAGCTCAAAATTACTCGAACTCAACTCAATTAATAAATAAACTTAAAAATTAAAATTAAACTCGTTTATTTAATAAATAAATCGAATTCAAATTGTTTATAAATATATCAGTTGATTTGCCGTATGAGTTTGTTCAAGGCCTAATCACAAAAAAATAACTTTTAAGATTAGACCTTATAAAAAGTCGAAGTTTTAAAGGTCACTCTTAAGTGATTATTACAATAGAATCACTCAATCATGTATCGATAAATTACGAATTCAAATTCACACTTCTAAAATTGGTTGGCTATGATTCAATCAAATCTACAAGATTTATCCTACTAAAGTTTCATTTCACATTGGCTACGGTAGTCAACTTTTTTGTGTTGAGACTTTTTTAGCCTCGTTTGATTTTTGTTTTTGGACTTTTTTGACTTTTGTAATAGAAAAAGTGTAATGATTATAGTTTAAATGCGATATTTTATCTTATTAACTTATATAGCCTATTTTATCTTTTTATGTTTTTTTAATCCCAAAATGAAAACCATGACTAAGTGCTCGTTTGGCAATGATTTTTTTAATTAATTTTTTGACTTTTTTAGCCTGAAACTTTTTTGATTATTTAGTGTTACCAAACGGCACCTTAGTATTTTTGTTTGGTTTTTTTTTTTACTTTTTAACTTTGTTTTGGCAAAATTTGTTTTATTCTTTTGTGATTTTTAATTTTTTATCTTTTTAAACTTTTTTTTTATCCTTTTGTGATTTTTTTAGCTCAACTCAAAAACCAAACTACCCCTAAATTATACATGCGATTGTCCGAAAACTTGAGGACTTGGAGCATCTCCAACGGTTTTGCAAAATTTTCACCAAATCCGAATAAAAAAAAATTAATTTTCTTAATCTGATACGCGTAATTCCAATGGTTATGGTTATTGTAGTGTGCATCAAAAAAGGAAAGGGACATCCGGTGGGTCGACTGATCGGTCGACCGGTTCAAATGTTTTTTGAACTGTTTGAACCAGTAATTTGAACCATTTGAACCAATTCGCAGACCAATTTTTGCATGAGCCGGTCGACCGGTTGGTCTACCGGGTGGTCGACCGCGTAATGTAAAATTTTCACAAATTTCTGCTTTAACGGTTATGCACAGTGAATTGATGAAAGGAGCAAGCCGTCCTCAGTTTGGTAAAATATTTGATATTTTTTCAATTTGATACTATTTTAGTACAACTGTTAGAGTACAAAAAATAATTTTTTTTTATCAAATTTAAATTTAATGTTGAATTTAGTGAACAATTGGAGACCGCCTTAGAGGCTTTGTTTAGATCACCATACTGTCTAGTTAGAAGATCGAGAGAGAGGTGGAACGAGTAACGAGGTGACACGTTCATGCTGTTTTGTCCCGTAAGGTCCAGGTGGGTGAGGTAGATAGATTAGTGTTGGATGATATAGCATTTTTTAATAGGACAAAATTTTGAAAAATAATGTTTAAAAAAATGTGTACAAAAATAGATATATTTTTTAAAATATGTAAATGGTATATAATATATAATTATTTTGAAATATGTAAAAAATAATTAAAATTATAAATATATGACATTTTGTGTTCTTTATTCACAACGGTTTTTAGAGTTGTCATTAGTAAGTTTTTTTTTACATATAAAATGTCTAAATATTTATAATTTTAATATTATTTCTTATACATTTTAAAACATTTAACAATAACTTTAGGAGTTTTTTAAATATATATATTTTTTGATAGGGGATAATGGCAATATCCCGTCCACATTTGTAGAATGGACGATCTAATTGGGTTCATTTGGTCAATTATGAGGTTTCGTTTAAATGATTAAATCTATTTATTTTGTAGATTTATTGTTTGGATTATTCACATAAAAATATCATATTGATTCATTCATTATAATTATGCTATTTTGTCTTTAAAAGAAAATAAACAAATTATTTGTAAATTATATTTACCGTCTATATTTAAAAAGTATCTAATAATATATATATATATATATATATATTTATAATCTGTTACATAAGAACTTATAATTTAAGGAGTGACCTTTCATTAATGATTGAAGTTTTTAAGGTGTAAACACATGACATAAGTTTTTTTTTGTTTGTTTTTTTTAACAGATGGTGAGATTTG